TTCCCAAATGCTATTTCCAAATAAACTATTGATCGATATTTTTTCTTTTGAATTCTTGTTTCAATATGATTTAAATTATCATAATATTGTAGCCAAAAGATACTTACAAATCCATTAAATTTTCTTTAATACGATTTATTTCAATCTCGATTTCGACAATAAACAATTTCGAAGAACAAGAAAAAACATTACCAAATGGTGTTTGTAGATGAGAAAAAAAACCTTTTTGAAATTCTAAAGATTCTTTTACGTAACATATGTAAATTTACATGGTTTTCTTCTTCTTTTTTTTCTGAATGAAAACATTCACACGCATTCAACTCGTTGTTTCGATTGGTCAATGATGATTTTGTTTATTTTCTGTTGTCAATCGAAGTTGAATTTTGACAGATTCAATTTTTCATTGTTGAAATTGCTTCCTATTCAATAGTAAAAAGGTTTCATTTACAAGTTTTTTGTTGAAAAAAATTTTAAACAGATTATCTCCGTATGTGATTATATTTTTGAGTATCACTAGGAAGACCACCACCACCAAAAATAACAACACCAAAACAGAAATAACGAATTGATTATCAAAATACTAAAACTACCATAAATGAACAACAACAACACAAACACAGAGTCTGTAATATTAATCCTTTTACTAAAGAATTGACCCCCGGAGTACAAAAAAAAATTGAATTGGATAGATATTTTTAAAGCTAACACTTTTAACTCTTTTACTTTTTGCAATGAGACAAAAAAAAATTGCTTTACAACAAACATTTGGTTAAAATGTAAAGGGGAAAAAAAGATATTCTCGTGAATTTGACATGTTCTTGTCAATTATACTTATTCGTTTAAGCTGCTGTTCATTCATTCATTCAATCTCATATTTCATTTTCACGTGTGTGTGTGTGTGTGTGTTTGCACAAAATTTAAAACGCGTGTGTATTCATGCATGTGTTGTGTGTTTATGTCATCTGACAAAATTGAGGAACCAAAAAAAAAAATCCTAAAAATTCATTCATTCAAATGTTTTTCTTGAATGACAGCAGCAGAAAATTTTTCAGGAAGAAAAGAAAGAGGATTCCCCAGCCAAAAACATGGACAAAATTTTTTAATTCTATTCTGGTCAAATGGTCTTTGCTTCAGTCAAAAAGTTGTTGCTGTTTTTTTGGGTGGAAATTTCATTATTTTACAAAATAAAATTTGAAAAAGAATCGGCTATAGGATAAACGATAAAATACCGACCGAAAGGATTGTAATATAATTTCGGATGAACGGTTATAACAAAAGCAAAAAACAAAAGAACCGGAGACAGTTCAACACTGTTGTTGTGACATGTATTTGAAACTTGTGCGTGTTTTTGTTCAATGAGATATCGTAGATCTTGTTGTTAGATTTCAATAACAAAGATTATAAATGGAAGAACAAAAAAATAAAATAAAATTGAATTGTCAACAACATTGAAAAATCTGATCCAATCAAATCGATTCAAAACAAAACTAAAATCTAAAAAGGGTTTTTGTTCCAATTGAAAAAAAAACAGAATGAAATTGTTCAACAATGATTTTCAATCGATCAACCTGAGACCATCGATTCTTTTTCAATACAAAAGTAAAATGACTCATTCCGATCATCAAATTTGATGACGAAAAATAAGCTGGACAACCATTATTGAATGGTGAAATGAAATTAACCCTTTATTTTTTCATTTTTTCACACTACAAGAATATATTGTCGAAATGATGTCAAACAAAACAATACAAAACATTAGAAAACATAATGAAAAAAAACGAAGAAGAAAATTAAATTATTATCACAAAAGAATACTGTTCGGTAAGAATGGAATAGAATTTTACTTTCGGAAAAAAATGATTCGTTGTTGTTTTTTGTTGTTGTTGTTGCTGCCAATTCTATTGCCTATTTCATTCAACGTTTTAATCCACGTTGAATGAAATGAAATTTCCTGTATTGAAACATGAAAAAATTTCAATGTTTGATGATGATGATGATGATGAAATAAAAACAAATACAGCCTGAAAATAATGATAATCAATTTTCATAAATTGCCAAATCACAAAAAAAAACATAACGATGATGATGATGATGACGACAACAACATTTGGTGACAAAAAAAAATTTTCATTTTCTTCATTTCCGTTTGTTTTTCTCTCTAGTCTTCTTTGATCATCAATGAATCCAGAAAAAAAATCGGAAATTGAAAAACCTAAAAGTTTAAATTAAAAATTATTCATCATCATCATCAACATGACATTATAAAGGTAGATGAAAAAATGTCACCATTTTATCATCGTTGATGATAATAATGAATAAATTCAATTATGAAAAAACATTGTCAGTTTTGTTTAAATACGATTTTTTATTCGATAATATTGTCATAGGGAATGTTTTGTTTTGTTGAAAAAATGATGAATCTATTTTTTTCAATTTGGCCATTGAATTTTGACCGGTAAAACAAAAATATTGAAAAAATTCTTGTCGATCAATCTGATTTGATTGAATTCAATGTACGAAAAGAAAATTTTAATGAAATTTCATATTCAAATTTCCTGTCGATCGCATCAATCATTTTCAATTCTGGATGTTTTGTCTTTTTTTTTTGGTTTTCGTTGTTTTCACGATGGATTTTCTTCTTCTTCTGTTTTTGGTTGAATAAAGCCAGGATTAAAATGTGATTACAAAAATCTTGAATGGACAAGCAAAATATAACATTTTTTTTCAGGGAATAAAAGCGTTTTTGTTTCAAATTCTTTTTTTTCACTGAAAAAAATTCAAATCAAAACAAAAATTTGGCAGATAAAAACGTGACAACTTGAGAAGAAAAAAAAAGATATCCGAATATCTCAAAATCTCAAGTTTCATTTGACCACTTTTAAAAGTTTAATTTTGTCGAAATATTTTTTTTTTTCGCAGGAAAAAAATTAAAACGAAATTCCAACATCCGAGACACATTCGAAATCAGAAAATGATACGGTCAACTGATCAATACGATCCATAGGGACAAGATATGGCCAAAGATCAATTCAACTATCAACATATTAGCTATGTGATGCACATGCAAAGAATTTCATCATAGAATTTTGATTACAGTTTCTTTTACTATGGTAAAATGAAAAAATAGCTTGAAAAAAAAAAATAAAAAAAACAAATTCCTTCAACCAACCATAAACAACAAAAAATGAAACATAGTGAATAAAATAAAATCTGCAAAAAAATGATATTTTCAGGAAAACGAAATTCATTCCGAAATATATCAGTTATATAATAACTTTTTTCTACCGTTTTTTTCCGATGAAGATCCCCGGAACCTATTTCTTCTCTATAACCGGCTATGGAAACTAGGAAAAAAATGAAAAAAAATCATAGTGCAAAATCACAAGAAAAAAAATTGAACCGTTTCGAAATTACCCGAAAAAAATAGGATTAATAAATGACAAAATATTTATAATAATCTTCTTGGTTGGTTTTGTAATTTCTTCTTCATCATGATCATCATCATCTTCGTCTTTGATGATCAAGAAGAAATACTATATATGTTTCAAATATTGAATAAGATAGAGAATTCCTAATTCCAGAAAAAAAAAATTCATCTTCTTTCCGTGCTTTTGATTCATTACATTCGTTATATACACATTGATGGTTATGTAATAATAATAATAAGCAAGCAGAAGAAGAATAATAATTCTTAAAATGTTTTTTTTTCTCATTTTGTTTTTGAATTGAAGTTCCAAAAGTATCAAAAGTATATTACCAGAATGATACTATAGTAGTAAACATATTAGAATCATACTGGCCTAAATACAATGGGATAATGCTGGAAAATAAGAATTCAGAATTTATTTTGTTCGTTGTTTTTTTCCTGTATTTCTAAATATAAGAATCGAGATGAGAAAAAAAAACTTTCATCATTTTTTTCATGTATTTTGGTTCTTTTCATTTCTGCTTAACTTTTTTTTCTCCTTCAAATAAGTATTTTTTTTTCCTGTATCTGCATATAAATAACTTTATTAAAGCTCTATGGTTTTCTGACTATGTATCCAAGTTAGTGTTTAGTTTGGTTTGGTTTGGTTTTTTGTTCGGCTCAATTTCGTTTGATAAGATATTTTTGTCTCTATAGCTCTGTTCAAATTATATTTGTTTCAAAGTCAAATTGTGCAATTCGTTGAATCGAAGATATGGAACGAAAAAAAAAAAATATTACATTCATAGAATTTTAATTGGAAACATTGGACATTGACTATAAAGTATGTTTGATTGAATGGAATCGAAATGAATTTGAAAAAACAAACATTGAGAATGTACCCTGTATAAAATGGACAAATTTATTTATTTTTTTCTTCGCTTTCTATTTAGATAATGATGATGATAAAAAGTAAACTGTAATAATTGCCGAATATAATTTCAAACATTTCACTTTTTTTCATATTGAGAAAATGACTTCGAAAGAAATTTTACTATCAAAGTAAACATTGAGATTAAAACATTTATCTTTTTCTTTTCATACAAACCAAATTTGTTATTCCTATTGATTCGGATAAAACTTCGAATGAATTAATTTTCAATTCATTTTTGTTCTTGTTTTTTCATCATATGTCTTTTCCAATTTCTATTCATCGTTGTGTGTGTGTGTAAAAATTAAAACGATTTATCAATTGAAAAAACAGTTTCGATTCGAATTAGTGATCTTTGTCCATCGGATGTATTCATTGAATTTATTCCTTTCACTTTTTTCTGTTCATTTAAGTCAATATTTGTTTTTGATTTGTTAATCATGTTTGTTAGTCAATGGCTATTCATTTTATTCAATTGGATCGATTTTATTTGATGTTTGGACAATTCCAATTCAAAAATTTTTATTCAATTTATAAGAAACATAGTACGCCATCTATTGATCACAATTTAACTTGCGCATAATTAAATTGTTCTTTGTTTTTTAAATTTTAGAAATTAAAACATTTTAATTAAGGAAAATAAATATCATTATGTCAATCGGGATCTAATGAGGCAAAACAATCAATTAATCAGTGGGGAAAAAACTTAATCAAAGTAATCGAAAATTATTGATTTCAAAAATTGTCATCAATATAATAATTGTTGTGCAAGTAATTCATATAGTTCAGTTTCTTTAATTTTTCCTTTACCCAACAATAATGATTGTAATGATGGCCGTCCATACGATGAATACGGTTCATATGATGAATATCCTCCATACGATGAATATTGTCCATATGGTTTTTGATATTTATGTGGATCATTATTGACACGTACTTTGATTAGGCCATCCAAAATACTTAGACCAAGATTTTTTCGATATGGATCTTTATCCAAATCCATTGTGTAGAAAATTCTATCATATTTAATTGTTGAGAAAATAAAAACTTGAAACTAAAAGATTTGAATACTTACGGAACATGAACGCCAACATGTTTACCACCATTGCTTAATCTATGTACATCCACATCAATCAAACCACCAAGACCACCACCATTTGGGCTAGCCTCTTGATAATATCCTCCATGATGACCGCCACCACCACCATTACTATAACCATAGCCATTGTTTTTTTGATATCCGCCATAATTATTATATTTTGTTGTTGTTGTTTTTGATGTTATCGTTGATGGTGATGATGTAGTTGAAGTTTGACAATTGACAAAATTTTCATTATGAATAATTATAATCATCATCATCATTATCATCATAAAAAAGGTCATCTTTATTTGTTGTAATTTCGTTGTTGTCATTATAGTAGACCATTTATTTGTTGTTGTAAAATTCATTGTTTTATTTTGAAAATTGTAATTATTATTATTTAGACACGATTAGAATGTTGATGATGATGATGATGAGAACGATTTTGTAAATTTGTTTTTTGTTTTTGTTTTGAAACAAAAACAACGATAATGATAATGATGATATTATAGAATAGGTTTTATAATGTTTGTTTTTTTTTGTCATCAACGACACAACGTATGTCACCATCGACAATCATTCAAATGATAACAGTATGATGATGATGATGAATTTGAAATGAACAAAAAAACCGTGATGTACAAGTTGAATCAATATCAATAGGGAGAAAAATCAATTCGAATAATTTTAATTATATAATGAAAAAAACCGATTGTAAAAAATACAAATAATCCAGACGAGAGATAGATAGATAGTGAAAATCGAAAGTTTAATGGTGAGAAAAAGTTATCTTGTCTTGTGTTCCATAAAGACATTGCGTTGGAGAAAAAAAATATCGATTTGGATGGATACGCGGAAAAAAAATTCGAACACATTCAATTTACTATTCGTTCGATCGAATGATAATGACATTGAAATATATTTTTGACCTATTTTTGTTTTGTTGGTTCTTATTTGTCATTGATGATCGTGATGTTTGAATTTGAAAAAACAAAACAAAAATCAATTGACTTTTTGATGTTCGTTAATAATAATAATAATCATCATCATCATCAGGGAAAGGTCATAAAATCATAGTATCGAAGGAAAAGTAAAGGAAAAAAAAATCCAATGGACGTCGATTGAACTTGAATAACCATAAGATTTTTTTCCGTGAAAAAAATAACGAAGATAAATCCATTCTTCATCTTATCATTTTCTCATAAACTAACAATAACAATATTTTTCATCATTGATGGTGAGAAAACAGAAATGATATCAAAGAAGAACAAACAAAAATCAGACAAAACAAACATTGACACTAACATTGGATTAAAGAATAAAATGAAAATTTCATTATAACATTGATATTTGTAATAAGATGTAAATTGAGTGAGAATAAGATAAATTCCAAATACAATTCACGTTCTATTTGCAAATCACAATTCTACATGCTAATCGTTTTTTAATTAGAAACATTTTTTAAAAATAAAAATAAAATAAGCATTTTTATTTTGTTTTTTTCAAATTTTATTCATATTATTATAAATTACAAATCATAATATGAATGACAAATAACAATTATTAATTGACAATGATAATAGACAATTATTTAAGAATAAAATCTAATGAGCCTAGATTTAATGATTTGTAAGAAAAAAAAGAGAGAAGAAAATGTGCTTTGAAACAAAGCTTTAAATAATTCTTGTTGTTTTGTTGAAATTTTCTGTTACAAATTCAAAACCATTGTAAGACAATGTCCATCATTATCATTATCATTATGATGATGATGAAGATGATGGTTTCAATGAAGGCGATAAATTTTGTTCGAATATTGTTTTCGAAACAAAAGATTTTTGTTTTAAACTTTCTACATTGGTAAGATCTTCAATTTTTTCTGTTGCTAATAATTGTTGTAATAAACGTTCATTTCGTTCCAATTCGACACTTGGTTTTTGATCACCTTTTGGTTTATTTGGATCACGTATTGCCCATTCAATATTATAACCGATTGCACCAATAACCATTGCAACTGGTAACATTACGTATGGTGCATAAACACGTGCGACCGCTATTAATGCCGGTATCATTTTGTCTGATTGATTAAAAAACACATTTCATTTGAAAAAATATTATGATGTAAAAATGATGAAATTCTTTCAATTTGAAAAAGGTCGGCTAAAATCATCTGTTGTATTTGAGGGTATTAATTTTGATCCATATGCCATCTGGTGTTCTGAATAGAATTAATCATTCGATTCGAATTTTTAATTTCGAAATATTACTTTTTTTTTGTTTCAAAAAAGTATCATTAGTTAATCGTGTGATGAAATTTTGAAACACGATATAATCCAATTCATTCATTGTTTTCGTAGCCAAACAGATTTCAATATTTCACTTCTGGGCGCTAATAATATTTTCATTTTTTTCAGAAAAAAATGTCATTCAATATCAATGATCATGTATTTTCACACAGAAAAAATATCATTGGTATAAATCGATTTAAAAATCCATTATTAAAATGAAATACTTGATGATATCCGAAAACAATAAAATATATGGATAATTTAGTTTTAAGAAAATCGTTGCCATATTGGCATCATCATTATCATTCATGTTTCTATCAATATCATTACCATTGTCCGGTAATGGTTTTGATTTATGAAATTTTTTTTTACTTTTTTTAGCCACAAAATTCATATTTTGATCATGATGATATTATTGTTGTCGATCATGATGATTTTCGGCATAGTTTCATAAGTTTTTCTTTTTACTTCGAAAAAAAATTGAAGAGAAAAACAAGTTTCATTCAATCACAAATTGGATCAACGAAAGAGAATGAAATGAAATTTTTTCTCTCTCTTCAAATATTCGTGAGAGAAAATGAATAAGGTTAACCTGTTGCCGTTTTGTTTATGTGGAACTATCAGCAGCATACATCGAAGGAAATTAGGATCTTCAAAACTTCAAAAAATATTTTCATTTTATTAGTCGAGTAGTTCCAGGACATTATGCTCTATGTGTTTTGATTTCGTTGTCAATGTTTTGTTTTGTTTTGTTTGTTTGTTTTTGTATTTTCAAATAATCAACAGTGTTTGTTTGGTTTTGTTTCGTAAAAATCATTGATCATCATTTTCAATGATTGAAAATGTCTTGACATTCAGTGTTTTCATCGTCATATTATTAATTTTGTGAATCGAAAAAAATGAATTCATAATGATTAAATTCTTATCAATAACGTTTTTATTGATGATTTGTTGTTGTATCAGCAACATTCATTCAAATGAAGAATATAAATGTCCAAAAAATCAATTCTATTTATATCCATGTCGTTGTACGGCCAATGGTTATTCAGGTATCGATTTACAATGTAATAATTCAAATCTAGCAACCATATCATTAGCACTTGATAATGTTAAAACACCAATCAATCATTTGATTATTATTGATTCGAATATAACTAGATTATTTGGACCATTGTTCAAGGATAAAATCATTCAATCATTATCAATTCATAATTCTAATCTACAAAAAATTGATTATGAATGTTTGAATGTAAATACAAATTTTAAATCCATTCAATTGGATACAAATCGTTTCTTATCAATACCTGAAGCTATTGGTATTGAATTATCTAATCTAACCAAATTGACTGTGATCAATAATGAACAATCAATTGTTGAAATAAAAGCAAATGATTTTAAAAAGAATGTTCAATTAATTGAATTAAATTTACGAAACAATTCAATTTCGAAAATTGATTCATCTGCATTCACACCGTTGACTGTTTTGGGTAAGTAATGTTTATTTGTTTGATTATCAATGCTGACCTTATTCAATTTGTTCAAATAAAATTAAATTGTGTGAAATTTTATTTTTAGAAAAACTTGATCTAAGTCATAATCGATTGAAGAAAATTGAACGAAATCAATTTCGTGCAAATAAAAAGCTAAACTATTTAGATTTATCGTATAATGATTTTAAAGAGCTGGGAAAATCCGATTTCAATGATCTGGTATCAGTAAATACATTGAATTTATCCTATAATGATCTACGAGAATTTCCTCGTTCCATTTTTGGTCGTGTTTCACAGCTTAAAGTACTTAATTTATCCGGTAATAAATTCAAACAAATCGATTCATATATGTTACGTGGTGTACGTTTTCTAAAAGAACTTTATGCTAGCCATAATCTAATCGAAGGATTAGCTAAAAATTCATTCACATCAACTACAAGAATTAAATTGATTGATCTATCACATAATTTAATGACAGAAGTAGAAACAGAAATATTCAAAGATATGCAATGGCTTGATTTAATCGATTTAAGCTATAATCATATAAATAAAATCAAAAAAGGTTCATTTCAACGTATGTTTAAAATAGCAATAAAATTAAACAATAATAATATATCGACTATTGAATATAAAGCCTTTCAAGAATTGGGCAATATTACTGAACTCGATCTGTCAAATAATCATATTGAAAAACTTGGTGCCAATATATTTGATGAATGTGATTGTACTATATTCAAATTGAATGAAAATCAAATCAAAAATCTATCAAATGTCGACATATTTGCCAATCTGACTGGTCTACGTATGTTAAATTTAAGCCGAAATTTTATAACCGAAATCAACCGTAAACATTTTACAACAAAAAAACTTTATGAATTGAATACAATCGATCTAAGTTTTAATAATATAACGGAAATATCCGGAAATGTATTCGATAAATTTCTTTCCATCCGACATATAATATTGACTAACAATTTGATCGAAAAAATTAATTATAATGCATTCGGATCATTACCAACATTATTAGAATTAGATTTGTCACATAATCAAATCAATGAAATATCCAATGGTGGTGTTTCGAATTTATTATCAGTAAAAACTATTTATTTAAATGATAATAAATTAAAACAAATGTTTCCCGTTTCAATGGCCGTAAATACATTACATTTGGAAAATAATCGAATACAATCGATTGGATCAAATATGTTTCCAATGATTAACGCTGTGTTGGTCGTCCATTTAGATAACAATAATATTAGCCAATTGGATGATAATTCATTCAGACAATGTTTATCATTGAATACATTAACGTTGAAAGGAAATCGATTGAATGAAATACCGCAACGAGCCTTGGCACCATTGACCTCATTACAGAAACTGGATTTGAGTTTCAATCAGTTAAAAAATTTAGGTATGTTATTAAATTGTTTTTTGTTTTGTTTTGTATTTTCGTTGTTGTTGTTATTATTATCTCAATCAACATTCCTCCCTGATCATTTAATTTTGTTTATTCGATTTATAAATACAATAATAACATGTTTTTTTTCCAATCATTCACTGTAATGGTGTGATGATGACAGGTCGTAACGCCTTAGGAACATTGAATATTTTATTCGAGCTTGATCTAAGCAATAATGAGATCAAGAATATCAGTGAAAATGCCTTTGATGGATTGCTGCAATTATTGGCATTGAATATTAGCCACAATCAATTGAATCAATTGACGCCCGATGTTTTCAACACTTTAGTCTCACTTCGAACATTAGATCTATCATATAATCATCTGAGCAATTTAGACAATAAAACGCATAGTCTATTTGGTCCACTTTTATCGTTGGAAAGATTGAATTTATCACATAATCAAATTTCGATTATCAAAGATCGTTCATTTCCATATTCCCAATGGATTCCATATAAACTTCGCGATTTAGATCTTTCCTACAATACTATACCGGTGCTTACATCAAATTTCGATAATGGACTAACAAAATTAAATAGATTATCCTTAAAAGGTAACATTATCAATGAAATTCATCCAAATATGCTGGGTAATCTAACCGAGCTTGAATATTTGGATCTTTCGGAAAATGATCTACGAAAAATTTCAAAAGGTGTTTTGCAGCCTACACCAAAAAATTTAAAAGAATTGAATCTATCGGTCAACAAAATAAAATCATTGTTTGTTGATGATATCAAATCTATTTCATCACTGATATCATTGAATCTTAGTTCGAATCGATTAAGTCATATTGATGAAGGATTAATCGAGCGAATCAAACAAAATTTAACAATATATTTTAATGGTAATTACATTTCATTCTTAATCATCATGAACAATATTAATAAAATTGAATAATTCTCATTCATTTTCAATTAGATAATTATCTTCATTGTGATTGCAAAATAATGCCATTGGTGTCATGGATATTTTCCCAGCACCATCAATCGAAATTAGAAGGCAAACAATCAACTGTATATGAACATTGGAGATATTTACAATGTCATGAACCAATGTTTGTGAAAAATAAATTTATGGTCGATCTTCGAGCTAACCTGGTCGATTGTGATGAACATGAACGTGAATCATATGGGAAAAAATTTATTAGTACATCATCCATACGTATTCGAACAATAGATAAATTTCGTAAACGACGACAAGAATCGATGCGTATCGTTTGGTTTGTACAAAATCAAATAGAAGATATTGCATCGTTTCAGATATTATTACGAGCAGAAAATAATCCAAATGATTATTTTATCAATGAAACAGTCAATTATTTAAAACGTTCATTTATTGTAAATAATCATAATCTACAACCTGGAAATCGTTATGTTCTTTGTATAGTGCCAATCGATTCTATGGGTATTACAGTTTATTCAAATGGTGATGATAGATTCGAACAACATTGTATTCGATTCTATAATAGTCATGCACATGTTATTATTGATGGTGATCGAACCGAACAACAATCATTGAACGCACGAAAAACAAATGCCAACTTATCATTATCATCAGCCGCATTATTTTTTTCATCAAATATTTTGATTAGCCATCTTATTCTATTATCCATCATTTTGTCATATTGTTTATATTAATTTGGAAAAAATTTTCCCTGTAAATAATAAATTATGTAGGCAGTATTTGTTTGGTTGATTTTTTTCCCATTTGTAAATATAATCTAAATAAAGCAAAGAGTATTTTTTATGAAATAAAAAGAGATTTTAATTCTTACAATATTTTTTTCGAACAAAAAAAACATAATGAAAGCTAAATGCTTTCAAATATGAAAATAAAAAATAGTTATCACAATCATGAATTGAATGGGTGAAAAAACGATGCTTTAATAAAAAAAATTTTTTTGGTCAACTTAAGCAATGACCAATGGCTCATCATCTGAATAGGCATGATTATCTTCGACTGTAAATAAAAAGAAAAAAAATATGTAATCTGCTTGAACAAAAATTAAATATACCTTGAAGATTATGATACGATGAAAGTGTAGCTGAATCTAAACGAGAATTATAACGGCTACCGGCAAATGCAGCTGGTAATATTGTTGACCGTGATCCTACATTTTTAATGACCATATATGCCAAACAAATGGACAGGATTATGATGATCAGTAGTAAAAATATTTCTTTGATGCCAAATTGGTATGAATATGTTGTCAATGTGGTTGCTGTTGCTAAAAATAGTATTTTAATATTATTAAAATAGCAACAAAAATGAAAAGATTAATGATCAGAAAATCGACTTTTAAATAAGAAAATAAATAAATAAATAAATGATCATTAATGATCACTAACCGAAATTTTCCGTGTAAAGTTTATATGTTTCGGAGATTGGTCCCGAATAACCATGATTATCGATCAATGCAACAGCAACAAAGTAATGATCATTTTTGATTTTCGTTTCAAATATAGCCGGCGGTGATTTTGTTTGTATTGAATGTCCTTTTTGTACATCTTTCTCATCATGCAAATAGACTTTATATTGGATCCTAATAATTTTAATAGTGATAATCATTAAAATTCCGAACAATATGATGACAATGTTAACAAAAAAAAAGACTTACCTATGCTGTTTATAGTCATCAACGATCGGAAAATTATCGACTTTTTTCCAAATGACTTGTATTTGATTATTGTGATTAACATATGCAAATAATTTTGCAACGGTAGGCATTGACGGTGCTTCTAAAATTGTTTTCTCACTCCATCTAGATGATATTTTACCATTACCAGTGATGGTTGCAATATTTATCTCGTAAATTGCCCCATAATGTACGCTGAGATCAAATGAATGATATGTATCCTTATTTGCTTGAAATCGAAATCGATCTAAACGTTTATTAACTAAATCATAAACATTTACAATGTAGCCAATTTTTTCCGGTAGAGGTGTTTGACATGTAGCATTCCAACTGATTGAATATCGTGTGGCCTCATCATTCGAAGCTCGATATTGAATTCGTCGAGGTGGTGATGTTGGATCGAATTTCGTTCGGATTCTCAATGGTTCAGATGATGCAGGACCAATGCCAAAAGGTTTGATTAGACGCACCTCTATAGTATACAACTGACAATTGAATAGATTTTTCAAAATAATCTTTGTATCTTTAGTCTGGTAAATTCGAAGATTTTCGATATTATCTCCAACATAAATGGCATATTCCCATTCAATTATTTCATCGACATTTTTTAGTAAATATTCAATAGATTTTCGAGTTGGTGGTTGCCACGATAGCGTAATTTGTGAACCCGAAACTTCATATTGAACAAAAACAGATGGTAATTGTGATCCAAGTGTTCGTAAATCCAAAACGTTATTATCAATGCCTTCGAACCAGAATCGACCATCAATAAAGGGAAATAATTTAAATTTATAATCAACACTAGGTGATAAATTTTTTAATATCACAAAATTCTTTTCAACCGTTATATTTTGTGAAAATAAAGGAAAATATTCTTCGCAAGTATATATGATAAGCCATTTTGAAATGTTTTTCGTTTGCGATTGCCATGATAATTCAATTGAATTTATGTTAACATTTTTTGCTGTAAAATTTTGAATTGTCGCAATTGATCCGACCACTAAAGGAATTTTTATTGAATCTTGGCTTTCTAAATTTCTAGTCAACGATGTAACCCAGAATGTATAGTTAATACCGGCTAGAAAACAACATAATTGAATCTGATTATAATGAGAATCAATAGTTATTGGTGGATTTGGTGGTGTTCGATATACACGATAACTTTTGATTGGTATCGATGATTCCGGTGTCGACCAATTCAGTAGAACTTCATTATATTCAACAATTTGTACAGTAAGATTAATCGGTGCTGGAGGTGAAACAGATTCAGTTGTTACAATTACAAAACTATTTGATGGATATATTTGTGTATCGTTTTGAGTAAAATTTTCTTGATTGAAATTTGTTGGTAATAATTTATAGAAAACAAATGCTTTATATGTATGACCAGGTGTTAGATTTTTAAAAGTATAATTTGAATATATAATCCAATTTGTAGCATTAAATCTAGAATGATTATCAATCAATGATGAATTTATATCAATCCATGCCGGCAAAAATAAATAATCATGATTGCTCATATTTTTTTCGTGTATAAGCCAATTAATAGTAAAACTATCCGTACGAATTGAATCATATTGAAGAAAAATTTGTAATCCATCTTTAGATATTTTAGCTTGTTCACAATTTTTTTCATCACTACCATCAAGACAATCATGTATACCATCACAACGTTGATCTAGTTCAATACATTCACCATCATCACAATAATGTCCAAGACAAATAGATGGAATAGTTACTTTTGAATTTAAACAACCCCATTCATCACTTCCATCAAAACAATCATGTCGACCATCGCAAACTTTTCTTGTTGGTATACAACCAATACTTAATAGGCAAGTAAAATAATTTTTCGGACATTTAATATCTGTATCGTTATAACAATTTTGTTCATCTTCATTAAAACGGCAATCAGGTTCGCCATCACAAACAAAAAGTTGAAATATACATTGATCTGATTTATAACAATGGAATCGATTATCACTACATTTTTTATGTCCATTCGATACAATGGCCGTTGATTCAATATTAGAATTATTTTGATTATTATCGGTGGATTTTATTTCCGGACAATCTAATTCATCCGTACCATCAATACAATCCTTATTACCATCACAAAGCCATTCGATTGGTATGCAAAAACTATCCGATCGACAATGATATGAATTATCTGGACATTTTAATGATGATGAACCGGAATGTTTATTTTCCGGATTAAATGATCCGGGAACAGTAATATTATTACCAACATTAGAATCAGTACAGTTTGCTTCATCACTTCCATCGATACAATCTTGATCATTATCACAAACAAAAAGTATATCGATACAAATATTGTTCGGACAACTAAATTCAAATTCTATACATCCTGATGTACAATTATCTAATTCATCACTTTTATCAGTACAATCAAAAACGCCATCACAACGCCAATTTTCATTAATACAATCACCATTTTTACAACGGAAACGTCCATCTTCACATTGGGTTATATTCTCTGTTGTTGAATGATTATTATATGCACATCCGATTTCATCGCTTCCATCACGGCAATGATCAAGAAAATCGCAAACATTTCGTACATCAATACAACGATAATTGTTACATTGAAATTCTGTAAACGGATTACATTTTGGATAGATTGATGAACATAATGTTAAATCTTCATCACTTCCATCTTCACAATCTTGTTCATGATCACACATCCATAAATCCTGGATACATTTTCCTGATGATTTACAACGAAATTCTCGGAGTTTACATTGTTCATCATAACAAGATTTTTCATCCGATCCATCATTACAATCATCATCTCCATCACATTCCCAATAAATTGAAATGCAATTTTTATTATCACATTGAAATTCATTTGATGAGCATGTCATATTTGGAGTTGATGGTCGACATGCACCAGTTTCTGTTAATATTCGATCATATGGACATGAACATTTTTCGTTATCATCCAATGTTCGAGTTATAACATATCCATCTGGACATAAACATCGATGGTTATTGAATGGTGTAGCAATACAAAGATGTGAACAAGTACCATTTAGATTACAGACATTTGTTTCATTAGAAAATTGACTGGTAACAATTTTTAGATCCATTGCACTTGAAACACCTTCGAGTATTGTTTTTCGTACGGTCGAATTATGTTTACTGACCAATATTAATTTATGCAGAACCCAATCATCATAGAAAACCATATCTTTGAAAACACCCAATGCAAATGGATGTGGTGCATGTTCACCACGAACAAGATATTTAAAATCTGTGCCATCATATAATGAACTTGCAATATAATCATGTTTAGCATCGACCCAATAGATTCGTTTCGCCGAATGATCGACAGCAATACCGTTGGGCCATTTAACCACATTACTATTGAATAAAACACGTACATTTTCACCATCTAGATCACTTCGAATGATTGCCGATGTTAAACTCCAATCGGTAATAAATAAATAACATTCAACAGGATCGATAGCAATGCCTCTTGGTTTCTTTGTATTCGGTTCGCTCAAAATGGTCCGTCGCATTCGACCTTCATAATTGATTCGTGTGTTGATTAATTCGACTTTTGATTTGTTTCCGTTAACAAAATACAAATGGCCATTAATCTGATTAAAAGCAATACCTTCAACAGAATCCAAACCAATTTCTACCAATGCTTCTGGTTGTAATTGTTCACCATCAAAACAATAACGTAAAATTCTATTCGAATGAATATCCGACCAATAAAGACAACTGTTTTTGTAATCAAAATCAGCTGCGATAGCATTCGTTAAAAATGATTTTGGCAATAAAGATAACTTGGTAAATTCATAATCATTCAACGAAATGATCGATATTTCTTGTCGTTGAACAAATAATAAAAACTCTGGCACTAATGTTGTATTGAAAGGACATGGAAGCAAATGTGGTGAATACCAATCTTCTTCACCACCTTCACAAGTATCACCAGGTATTTTGCGATAACCTTTAGTCTTGTTAAACATTCGCCCAGGTGAACAATTGCTATAGTTCAACGATTGGAGCCATGATTCATGTTTAAGACCACAATGAAAAACGGGTGATTTTTTAACTAGCACATAGCCTGAATCACATTCATAATCAGAATGTTTACACGGACAATTGATCTGATAAACTGGACGAGAAAATTCATTGCCATTAAAACATTTTCGGCTAGGCATTCGGCGAAGAAAAATCTGTGTCGATCCAAGTAAACATTTCGACTCGTAATCATGTGGCGACCATTCTTTGTAGTCAATGGGTATTCGACATTGTGAATCAAAAATTTCCGTGAAATTAACCTGTTTTAATTCATTAATGATGAGATTGCTTTTGATTGAAAAAAATTTGAACAAACCTGAATAACGATCCATTCATGACGTTTTTCTGCTGAACCGAATATCGTAAACGAAGCAGTTTTTTCTCCTGGTTCTGTCAACAATCCATAAACACGAATTTTATTCGGGTGAAATTTAAACAATGTGAATGAATATCCATCATCTATTGAGTAGTAAAGTTCATTGGTAGGGCCGGCTTTTGAAAAATGTTCTACGGCTACGATAATGCTACCAAAATCTCCAAATGCATAAAGATAGTTACCGGTGAGTATCTGACGCCATGTATTTCCTGCATCAAGACTTAAATAAAGATTTTGTTTGCCTTTTAATGAATCTCCAAGTACACCCGTTGCAAGTATGAATCCAACAGATGATTCACGTGTGAGTATTGGTTTTGAATTTGAATTCATCGAAAGATATCGTTGAGTTAAATGTAATGAACAATTATTATGGGTAATATTGCATGCGATTGGATGGCCAAATGCATCTTTAGTTGGTGGTTTTAATGTATGCCAACGATTACCCATATCAAATGTGATCAAAGTAATAATATCCGATATAGATTTACGTTGTAGATTTTTCCATTTGGAAATAATATATGTACCACGAATTCCAGCTATACGATGTATGTCGGCAAATTCTTGATCTTTAGATATTTCATAATGTAATCCAGGTATATGTCCTGAATATTCCGGATGATAAAAGACAACATTATCCAACGATAAGCTGAATTTATCGAAATCAGCATTTGAAATATAAAGATTGGTTTGTCCATTTTGATAAGTTATACAAAGAAATATTGCAACATCAGTTATATCCACTATAAAATAATTGACAGGTTTGAGACTATCACCGAAATCTGTTTCCAATATTTGTACTTTAAAAAATGGCTGACGATCAATAGAAATCCAAAATTCTAGCATATTTGCACTTTTGTTAATGCTATGTGTGTATAGATTTTTTCGACGAGTTGCAAATATGAAACGATTTTTTATGGAAACTTTTTCCACATCGGTCAACCAAGTATGAACGGAATGATGTTTTAAATGATGATCACTGGAAAATGCAATTAATGATGATAAACCATTTGGTTCAAAACGTTGTGCGAAAATTGTTCGAAAATCAATAGCTGGATCAATTTTTGGCACAGTCCATGTAAAATAACCTGTAGAGTTTGAATGTATTATTTGCCAAGTGAAACCAAAATCTTCGCTAACAAATAGAACATCATTTGATGATTGAGCAAGAATCAAATTATGTTCGGTCGGATGTAGTTGAAATGTTTTCGGAGCAAATGGCAAACGATTTCGTTTAAATGTTTGACCATAATCATTTGTAATGAAAATATGTTGATTTTGTTGATCAACAAATAAATAAAAAAAATTCCATACGGGTGATAAATAAAATGTTTGTATAATTGCAGATTGATTATCATTTATTTTCAAATCAGCCATCACAAATGTTTTTCCATAATCATGCGATATGTATACAGATGATGATTGATTTTGGCGACTGTTAGCACGATTTTTGGCCAAACATATGATAACCGGAGTATTATTCCCGACCCAATGTACTATTAAAATTAGAAAAAAATTAATGCTGTCTTTAATAATAATTCATTGAAAACAATAAAAGACAAACCTGTAAGCTGCTCATGGCTATCATTAAGATTTACAAAATTAACCAAAGATTTATTATAGGAAAATGTTCCACCAAGAACATTGGATTTGTTTTCGATTGTTAAATTTTTCAAACTAAGCCATTGATTAAAATGATGATCATTTGGTCCTAAAAAATCATCACTCAATGCTTCAACAATATGATGTTGTTTCATTAGCAGATAAACGAAAAATAGTATCGTGAATGAAAATAAAAATTTCAACTTGTCATTCATGATGGATGGCATATTCAGTTGATTAGATCAAACGGTGTTATGATTGAGATCATAGAAGAAAAGAAGATTATTTAGATAGATTCCAAAAATCTATGGTGTCGATAAATTTTTTGTAAAATTAGTAGTAAAAAATTAAAGCTGCTATAATCATAAAATGAACATTTATGATCAATTGATTGTATCGATGATACATTGTGGTCAATATTGAATATATAGCGTTGAAATTGAAGATATTCAATTTACAATCAATTTGGCATACATTTTAATTCGGAAAAAAATTTGGCAACATTAAAACAATATCTTTTTTGAATCTTTGTTTACATTGATGAAATTCATTTATGAAAATTTTCGCTTCTTTTCTTGGTTCAACAAGAATCGCGCTGCAAAAAAGTGGCCACTGGTTTCGGGTCCTATCCACAAAGAATGTGTTTCAAATAATAATTTAACGCGCGCAAGGATTCGATTTGACCAGAAAAGAATTTTTTATTTGAAAAAATGCTAAATTCAGGTTGCTATTGGTTACCATCGATACACAAAAGACAAAAATAAAATAACCGACAGATTTGATTGCTCGATGATGATGATGATGATGATGATGTCATAAATATCTTCATCAACAACTTTTAATGGGAACTTATTTTCAATCAAACCGAATTGTGATTACAAATATATTCGAAATCGATTGATTGATACCATTTAACAAATAAAGCCACTGTTGGCATCAATCATATCAATTGTTTGATATTGATTACCATCAAAATATTTACAATTGATAAATCAATAATGGTATTCATATTTTATCAATAATGTTTATTTATTTATTTGATTAATGTTATAAATATTTTTTTTATTGATAGTCAAATTCAAAATATTCGATGAAAAATTCGATAAAAAGCAATGTACAATTACAGATTCTCATACATTTCAACATATGTTTATTCATATTCTGGTTTCTTTTACATATTTTCTATTATCGTCAAATCGAACATCAATATTGTCAACAAATTTTTAAGGTTTAAAAGTATTTTTTTTGTTTCTATATTAATTATTCTAATCAAATTGATTTGTTCAAACAGAATGATGATCTTTATACATTTCTTAGTAATGCATCATTTACTTTGTTGACTATTGTTGAATTTGGACGTTTATATGCTGGATATTATGGTAATCGTTTGGAAAAGGTATTCATTGTTTTTTGTTTGGTTGTTGTTGTTGTTGTTTAATTCCTAATTAATTGATCATTCAATTTAGATTCAACATCTAATTGCATTCATATTTTTATCATCAACATTTCAATTACCGAATCATCTTTTTCGTTTAATTGTTATTGAATGTTGGCAACATTATTTATTTATTCCGGAAATAATTTTCAATCTTTTACTATTGATAATGACATTGGCTGAAATTATTTTCAGCGGTTGGTATTTGAAAATAATCTTGGCAAAAATTTATCAACAACATGAATCACAACAACAAACTATAACTAATGTTGTTAGCGAAAATGATGATAAACATCAACAATATAATATTGGATTAGATAATTGTTGACATCAAATGTGATCATCAAGGTCATGACCGGTTTCGTCTACCGATTACTATTTTTTTTGTAATTTAATTATGATAAGAAATATTCATCACAATAACAAATGAACACAATTGGAATTCTGTTAATCGAAAAAAATAAGTTTTTTTAAGCTGATTTCAGATCATAATCACATTTTTTTCCGAAATGTAAACAAGAAAATATAGGAAATGAAGAAAAATAAAAATTAAAAATTTGACAATGATAATCTATTATAACATTAATGAACTTGTTGATTTGAAATAGTTGATTGTGCAATTTTGTTTTAAAAAAAAAATTTCTCGAACCGGATTTTTTTTTTCTTTCAAATCTTCAAAATTTTTTTGATGAAACCAAAATAAATTGTTTTTTCTTCATCACCTTTATAAATAACTTTTCATAAGTAAATTGATTTATTGTCTGTGTTTATTTATTTATGAAAATCATAAGAAATTTTTTTTCATTTCATTTCCCCAAATGAAATGAATTGAATTCCTTGTCATTAAAATCTGATGGTGATAATCAAATGTTTTTGTGTATTGAGATATGTATTTATGAACGACATAAGATTATGATCATCACCATCATCATCACCATCACCATCACACCACAAACATCAATCTTGTCATTAAATAATCACAAGTGAACAGGATTTTTTTTTTCATTTTAAATTTTCAAACATCGTTTATAATTATTATTATTAATCATCAATGACTAATCAAAATTGATCGATGATGGATGTTAATCCACAAACACCCAAGGTTTTTTAAGTTTGTAATAAAAAACAAACTAACAGTAACTAAGATTTTAATGATCTGATTTTGTTTTTGTTTTTTTTTTCAAAGGTAACCAATGCGATGATCAATTATTTTTTGACAATTGATTCCAAATTCTTCTCATTTGTCAGATTCTTGTTTCAAGTTTTCAATGGATAAACACCAGGAAAAAAAATGATTCTAATGATTCTATTGTGTTTTGGTGCTATTGATCAAACAGCTAATGGATCAGTAACCAAAAAAAAACCCAGTAACATTCAATGTCAATGTCAATCAATTTTTTTTTTGTTGTTACCTATCTAATATTCCTTGATAATCTCATTTCACCACCGGGAAACAGGATAAGATCAAAATAAATCTTTTCATTTATCTCGACCTGTTGACCTGATTATCGTTTAATCCAGTAAAATATTATAGAGAGAGGAAACGAACGAAAAAGAAAAAAAAAACATTACCATGTTTGTTTGATTGGATTTAATCAAATCGAATTTATTTATTTAGTTTTTTTCTTTCTTTCTTTCAACAACATTTTGATGTTAATGATAAAAATAATTATGCCAATGATCATGCTAATGATCTAATCGATTACCCACAACAACAACTAACATCATCATTATCAAACTAAGTCACACAAACAAAAACAAAAAAAACTTTCTTAGAATCTTTTGATCTAGAATTAACCCTATCGTTAAATTCGTGATAGATTCATCAACCGATAATTAGTCTACCAAATCAACCGAAAACCTGAACAAAAAAAAACAAAGAAACAAAACGAAAATTTCCAAGGAATTATCCGAAAAACAAAACAAAATAACTGTCCTCAAGTCATTTTTGCAAGTTACTGTTAGTTTGAATTTTTTTTCCTTTCTTTCCTGAAAGTTATTATTGAACTAGATTTTCTTTTTTTTTGTTGCAAAATCCACAAGTATCCATGATGATAATGATGATTATCAAATAACTATCATTCTTTTTTTTTGTTCACATAATGATTTCGAACATTAACCAATTGACAATTGTTATGATGAGTGGTTGGTGAGTGGGTGTGTGTTTGTGTTTGTCCAAGAAAAAACCATTTACACCTGAAAACAAACAAACAGATTGAAATAGACCAATTGTTGTTGACCATAAATTGGTTCCGCATATTTACACAAACAATATATTCTTAACCGCGGTAGTGAATATTTATGTTTATGAAAAAAATGGTTAATGGTAACATCGTTAACACCGATACACTTGACCAAAAACTGAACAAGATTATTATTATCATCGATTATGTTTGCGAAAAAATAGAGATCCCCATTATCATCATCATCATAATTTATAAAAATATAGACGATGACATTTTCAAATAAGAAGAATTCGAAGAATGAAAGAAATAAAATAACTTTTCGTCGTTTTCCACAAAAAAAGAAAGAATATAGATTAGTTTTTTGTTCAATAATATATCCTTCGAATGATGATGACATTCAAATTATTATTATCATCATTATGATTATTATGGTCGTTGATGTTGGTCACACACGATGACGACGATCATGATGATGGTGATGATCGTTATTCTCGTTTTAAACCCTAGAAAAATACCCATACCGATAATAGATGATGATGAATGATTGAAAAAAAAGTGGGGGTATTTATTTTTCAATTAGAGCTTTAAAAAAAATTGTCTCATATGGAGAATAACAACGACAACAAAATATAAAAAGAAAAAATAACATTTTCCTTTTGACCGATTTTTTTTCATATATCCAAGTTTCTTAATGTTTGTTTGATTTTCTTCTTTTCCTTTTTTTTTCTTTTCTCAGAAATCATCATTGATCATCATTAATGATCTGTTTGTGGATTACCCGAAAAAAATGAGCAAACATTTGAATATTATGCCCGAAACGAGAAAAAAAAGTATGAAAAAATTCTTGGTTTCAATTCAAATTCAGGGTAATTATTTATAATCGAAACAAAATTTATTTGCATAATGATAATTCTTGTTGTTGTTTTTTTTATATTTAGAAAGAAAATTATAATTATAATTAATTTACAACAACAACAACAACTAAAAAAAGATGATATCAAGAAAAAAACGAAGAAGGAAAAAAAACTAAAGAGTAATTAATTATCATTATCACCTTTCAGCTATTTGATGGCCAACATTTTAAATCCTAAATGACCATGGTGTTGATCATCTTCATTATCATCAACATCAACATCATCATCATTGGTTGATGTTGTTGTTTAATATGATAAATATTTATCAACATTTTTGTTATTTATATTTACACATCGGACTAAAATAAGAAAGGTGTGTGTGTGTCATATGACATTGATCATCAAAAACATTGATGAGCAACACAAAACAAAACATTGTTTCTTTATTTTACATAAAACCGTTTTAAATTCGAATGAATTTATTCGTAACAGATAATACATAGTGCCATGTATAATTGATAATTTTTTTGGAATTTAAATGAAAAATATTAATGATTTTGAATAACAACGAAGAAGCAAACAGAAAACAGTTGGGAAAAGAAGAAAACAATTCATTAATTCATGTTGATTTATGATTAATCTATCACAGGTGATATACGTTTAGTTTTTTCAAAAAAAAAGTTAAATAAATTTTCTTTGTATTTCTTTTTTTTCTACTGAATTTTTTTTTCTAATTTAATTCAATGATTTTGATCATCATCACTGATAAACATCGTAGCTTTTTTTTTAAATTACTCCGAAGAAAATAATGGGGAAAAACTGATGATGAAGATCTTCGTTTTTTAAGCATTATATCCATGTTTCGACAAACACACAAATCGTTACAATACAAACATGTCAAGGTTTATTCACCAATATCATTATCATTATCATCATTATTATTGATGAAAACATCCCTTTTTAAAAAAATGGTTAAAGATTTCTATTTCCACCATACACGCAAAGGACAGAATAATATACACAGACAGACAGACAGACAATTTTCGAACGTTTTTTTTGTTTATTGTCATTGTTTGAAACATTCGAATTCGAACCCTTACTTCTTCTTCATTTTTTTGTTTGTTTGTTATCATGTTATTCCATCAGTTGATTATCATCATTTTATAAATGGACAAAATAAATTTTTAAATTCATTTTAATAAATATTCGTGATAATCTTGATTTTGTTTTGTTTTGTTTTGTTCAATGTTGCAACAATCATGACAAGTGAATTTAAATCCGGTCAAATTTGTCTGATCATTTCCTTCAAAAACAAAAATGATTCGGTTCTTTTTTTGTCATCAACATCATCATCATGGTCAAAATGATAACATCATGATTTGACAAATCTAGTCAAATCTAGTTTCAATAATCGATCGATATCGTTAATTCAATTGATCGGATACATTGTATCCAAGCTTTTTTTCTGTTTTCACAAGCAAAAAACATTGATCAAAAAAAGTTTTTTATTGTTTCTTCAAAATTCTACTATCTCTATTCAAACCAGATTTACAGTTATTAGCCTGAATTTATTTCAATGTTCTCTTTCAAAAACTGATTTGTGGATGCAAACACCGTTCGTTTTTTTTCTTTCCAATTTTGAACCATTTCTGATGGACAAACATCTAAGATATCGAAGTCTATGTTTTCATGTCATCAAATAGGAGGGTCTTTACAAAAAAAAAGAAAAGAAAAAATACGATTTTCTTTTTTTTCAAAGTCTTTGCCTTCTCAATACCAGCAAAGAAAAAAAGCTGTTTGTCCATTTCATTCCGTTTCTGTGCCATCCTCAATATTACAAGACCAACATATTGATCGATTCATTCATTCATTTGTTGTTGAAAAGAAAACCCCGTAAGCAATTCAAAAATTTTAAATGAATCCTATGCGTGTGTGTATGGTTCATTTGGTAAATGAATAAAAGACAACAGCAACAACAAACTAATGAATTCTTTGTCGATATATAAACGTTGAATGATCAGATTGTGAACTAGTTATTTGAATGAATATTTGATGAAATTATTTTAAATCTGTGATTGATTTATAATCATCGACTTGAAATATAACGGAAATATTTGGTGTTTTCCTGATTCATTTTTTTGCGTGTTTTATGAGTTTATGTTTCAGATAACTGTGCATTATTTATCAATAAAATTCATGATATTTTTGATTTGACAATTTTCAATTTTTCAATTCATCAATCAATAATTTTTTTGCAGCCTTCATTTTTAATACATCGGTGAGTGTTTGTTTCACTTTCATTTTTTTTTTTATTGAATAGAATGATGATGAGAAATATAAAGAAATAGCGACTATTCTTTTTTTTATTGAATGGTAAAATGATTGATTCAATTGATCGATTGATCAATCAATTCATGATAGTAATAGTTTTCATCATTATTGTGATGCGAACAACAATAGATCGATCAATAAAGAAGAATGATATTCATATGATAATGTTTTGTTTGTAAACTTTCATTACCACCATTAATCACCACATTGTATTTTGGATTGGCTAATATAATCAGACAACAACAACAACAACAGCAACAGGTGTTTGAAAATCTTAAAATTATTATTACGCTTATTGACGCGTGCACGTGTTTTTTCCTTTCTTTCTTTCATTTTATTGTTACAAACAAAAAAAAATTTCAAGAATCACATTCAATGACAAGCAGATTAATTGTCGTGACAATGATAAGGGTACAGAATTTATCGATCCAATTATTTTTCATTATCGATATGATTGTTGCGAATTAAAGCATGATATTTACCGGACAGATGTTTTTTATTCATCCGCAAACAATTGATTCGATAATGGCATTTAATTTAATACGAGAAGAAAATTTCTTCTCTCAGCTAATTGATTGTCACATTATAACCAATTTAACAGAAAAGTTTTTCATTTTTTAACACCTAAGTGTAATCTGATCACCTATGTCTATGCAATTTTTACCAGCAAATATGAAAATTTTATGTTTTCAATATGAGAAAAAAAAGCTGAAGCAATATGCAAACATGTGTATTGGTGGAAGTGAATTTTAGATGACCGTTTTTTACATTAGAAATAAATTCAAACCTTTTAACCGGCAACAAAGGCAGGAAATCGGTAGGTGTCAAGAATACACAGATTTCAATGTCAATAGTGAAGATGATGATGATGATTATGTTAGAGTTAGTAGTTATATCTTCCTAATCATAATGATCTTTCTATCGGTATTCGATTCAAATCAATCAATATCTAAATCAGTCGGTGTTGTGATCACATCATTCAAAAAAAACAAACAAATTTTTTCGATGATTGTTGCGTGATCATTTGGATTGATCAATCGAATCCATTCTTATTGTTATCTATGTTTTTTTTTGTATGGAATTAAGTTTTTCCACATTGAATTTACATTCAGTTCAATGAATAGAATAAAATCGTTTTATTTTGTTTTCAGGGATTCGTTGACCATGTATTATTTGATTGCCCCCATTATTATCTTTCACAATCCAATAGTGACTGATAACAAGTTTGAAATGATGACAATTTGATCGATTCGATCATTATTGAATGATGATGATGATTTAGGTCGTCTGTCTTGAAATCTAGATACGATTTTTTTTCGCTATTTTAATATTCGATCAACCATGAATTTGGAATTGAAAATGAAAAAAAATAGAATAAAATAAAATGAAAAACACTGAATCAAACAAATCACGATGGCACTTTGCAGTTTTTTGTTTGAATGATATGAATGGGATTTTTTCATTTTGTTGATGATGTTTAATTATGCTTTTTTTTCAATTCGATTTCATTTAATTTGATCATAGATTTTTTTTTACCTCGAATAATTCTTACGTGAAATATAAGATAAAAATGTCGCCTCTAATAATTCAACATATGAAAAGAAGGTTTCAAAAAACCAAACCAAAAACATCAATATCATCTAATATATCGTCACCTTTATTTTTTGCATCATCAAATTATCATTCGACAATTTTAATGGCCATCATCATACAGCTATTGATTGTAAGTAATAATTCAATTCTTATTATTTTTTCAGAAAAAATTGTTGTATTTTTCTATGTATGCAAGACATTTCAGATCTAAATCAAAGAAAATTTGTATTTTAAGTTGAACCAATTTTACATTTTTCACCATCAAGTTTGTTTGATGATAATGAGAATTTGTTGAACAACCTAGATAGAATTTAGTTTATCAGTAGGATATTGTTGTTGTTTTCAATAAGCATGTTTGTAACTCGATAGACAAATTGGCCTCTGGTCATTGAATGATTTGAACAAGGACAAGAAATATGGCATAGAAACATTTTGGATTAGATTAAATTAATTAGATTGAAAATTTAAACTAAAAAAAATTCATTATATCCAAATAACAGATATAATAATCATTGGAATTCAACCATGTTGCTGATGATGATGATGAGTTTTTCAATCATCTTATTTACACATGCACCTAAATACAATAATTGCATCGACCGAGTTATTCAATTTACAAACATTATGATTTTAACGGATATCGTTTTTTTTATTGATTAACCTTGATCAATTATTTTTAATTACAGTCTTTTATTTCGATATAACAAAAAAATTTTCAATCATTATTATTATTGAACCGATATGATCGGTTGTTATTATTATTCGAACGAATCGCGATTTTTTTTATTTTTCAAATTACTCCACTTCAGGATAAAAATAAAAAAACCCACCTTGATTGCTTTGAGAGTATTGAAAATTAAAATTATAAATGAAAAAAAAAACGGAAATTTCAGGTTCAAGGTCCATAATAGTGAGGATCATCTGAAAAAAAACGAGAAAAAATATTTTTTGAAAATCAAAATTCATGTTCATCATAAATCATCAATAAGAGGTTGGCTTTTTCCACGAGGATTTTTTTTCTACTTTTCTCGAGTTATAAAATTTTGATAACAGTATCCTTCAGTATTTTATGTTTGACATTCATGTCAATCAATATAAATACCAATTACCGTAGTTTATTAAAAATGTTCAATTTCGTTGCCAAATTAATCCTTTTGGCTATAATTTCTTCAAAATTGCAATGCATAACACACAAGAAGTTTGTTCACGCGATCAAATTTTATTTCATTTTTTTGCACTAAATAATCTTTAAATATATAAAATGAGGAACAAACAAAGTTGATGATTTCGTATGATTATCAATCCTTTCGATGTTTCAACAGTTTTTTCTCGGTGTTTTTTTAAAAGCCAGGATAATTATCTTTTTTGTGACTGACAAAAAAAAAACGCGGAAATTTAATCCGAATTTATTCCTCATTTTTTTGACATTGCAATTTTAAAGAAATTTGATTGAAACAAGCACATCTATGTGTATGTGTGTGTTCCATAATTGATGTAATTAGAAATAAAATTCAGCATGATTTTTAACATGAAGGGTACAAGTAGAAGAAATTTTTGAAAAAAAAATTATTAATCATGATTATAATTTGTTTATTTTTATTCAATATTATTGATGATAGAAATGATTATAATATATGATGATGGACAAATCAAATTAATCATTAGTTTAAGATGTTCAAATGATGATCAACAAGTGTGTGTTGAATGAATGATATGTGTTGTCATTTTTTCAAAAAAAGTCCAAACAAAATTTACTACAATTATGTTGTTCAGTTTATAGATTTAATCGATTGACTTGAATAATTAGAATTTTTTTTAATCGATTTAGATTTGTCTGAATATTGCCAATAATTATGTGGATGCTTTTGATTATTGGCGCAAGCTTGGTACGTTGATTTTTTTGATTGTTTTACAGATTTTCATTTAATCAAGCTATTTCTTTTTCCATCATCGTCTGAAAACAAGGTCCATTATCACCTGATTTAAAGCTTGGTACCGAGTGTCGTAATTCTTTGGAATGTTTATTGTTTGTACCGAATAGTCAATGTGATTGTCATATTTGTAAATGTCAACCGTATCATATTCTTTACAATCAAACCATGTGTTTACCTGGTAGGTGTAAGATTTATGTCTTAAAAATTATATAATTTTTTCCAAAAAAAAACTAGCATCATTACTTGGATATGCATGCAGTGTAGATGAGCAATGTACAGCTCGTGTATCAAATGCACAATGTACCAATGGATTATGTCAATGTGAATCAAATTATCTTCCACTTCGTCGTGATAAATGTTTACCACGTATGTTCGATTTTTTATGACCATCATCCATATTGCTTATTTGTCTTGATTTTTTATTTGTATGAGATATTTAGCTGCAATGGCCGGTGATTTTTGTTTAAATGAACAACAATGTCTTATGGGAAATCGGCAATCGAAATGCAAATATATTATTCCACGAATATATGGTAAATGTCGCTGTTTGGATGGTTTTTATCAAACTAAAGATAATCGTTGTTTGCCAAGTAAGTTTCATTCTTTAAACGAAAAACAAATGAACAATTTATTTTTTTGTGTTACCAAATCACATTTTATTATCAGATTTACAAAGTTCATGTAATAATTCAAATGAATGTCAACAAGTGACACCGAATTCCTATTGTGCTAATTCATTGTTTAGCACGAATAAATGTCAATGTAAACCCGGGTTCCAGGAATCAAAAGATCATCAAACATGTCGACCATTACCAACAACAACAACTACGACTACAACGACTGAACCACCAAGACAGATTATCACAAATGATGATTTATCACCAAATTTTATCGATGATAGTTTTAACGAAGAAGAAATTTCATTTGAAGATGAACCGCAAATTCGTAATGCAAATGCTGTTTCATTGGGTAAACATTGTAATCATTCATTCGAATGTCAACTCCGCGATCCATATTCTCGATGTATCGATGGTATTTGTGATTGTATTAAACGTTCTGATGAATGTAACGCACTAAAACCGGGATGTCACGCCGATACATTTCAATGTCGTAATGGACAATGTGTTTCTTGGTATTTTGTTTGTGATAAAAACAATAATTGCGATGATGGTTCTGATGAAAATCAATGTGAACCATATAGTAAGTTTGTATCTAAATTAAACAGAAATTTTCATCCTTAATTTCGTACTTTCAAAAAGATTGTCCGAAAGAAACATTTCAATGTAAATCTGATGGTATCTGCGTACCGCGACAATCAGTCTGTAATGGAAAATGGGAATGTTCAGATGGATCGGATGAGGCTCTTTGTCATAAAGGTTTGTCATTCTTATGAGAATTCATCGAATTTTTCATTAATTAAATTTATTAGGAAATTCTTGCGATAGTCAAGCCTGGCAGTGTAAATCCGGACAATGTTTACCTCAATATGCATTCTGCAATGCCGTTTCCGATTGTCTTGATGGTAGCGATGAGGATGAAGAAATCTGTGAAAGCTGTATGTTTAATAAATTCTAATTTTCGAAATATTTACTGACCTTTGTTCTTTTTCGATCAATTTAGCCATGACTTGTCCAAATGGAACCTTCACATGTTCGAATCGAATGTGTCGATCAACGGCTATTCTATGCAGCGGTGTAGATGGATGTGGAGATAATAGTGATGAAGAACGATGTGAAGTTTGCTGTAAGTTTTTTCGGTAATCCTTTTTTTCGGTTTCTAAAATTTATGAACTTTCTCTAAAAAATTAGACTGCCAAAAACCATGATACTCATTAAGATATGGGACGATTTCTTGTGAGAGTTTATCATCGCCATATAAATCATCCTGATCATTGGATAACAATTTTCATTGCCTTTTCTCATCAATTCCTTAATTTATTTTCATCTTTGTCATTACTATTCATTGTATAATTAATTGAAAAAATCGCATGTTTTTTTTGTAATTCCTAATATGCTTTGCCTTAATCTATTACAAATTCGAGTCATCATGATTAATGAATGATTGACCAGTATGGTCAAATTTTGATTACTCAGATTGATTGATTTATTTTTCAGAATGTGTACACTTTTCTTCATGAATGAATCATAATGAATTTTTTTTTTGTAAATATAATGCGATACATTTATTCTAAATATTTGAATGAATTGTGAATGAGATTTATTTTCTATCATGATTAGGCTATCGATAAACGTGTGGATGAGCAATCGCTTAATTCACAAATAATGAGTATGAAATTGATATTTTTGAGCCATAATCTACTATTTATGAGTAATATGAATTCGATTTTTAATAATCACATCCATGAAAAAAATCCACCTCATTCATGATTAACTTATCAGTTAGTCACAAAACAGTGTGTTTGTGTTGTTCATGGATGTGATGTTGGTACTACCAGAACCACTACAACTGAATACAATAGCATTTCAAATGACGTCGTTAGGGTTATAGCAAATATATAAAAACTTTTTTGTTTGACCACAAATCATATCATTCGATTCATGATCTTTCTTCTCGCTTCATCATTCAGCGAATTGTCTTCTTTTGAAAATCATTATTTTCCGACAAATTTAACAGTGAAAAATTAAAATGGCCGATTTTTTCAAAATCGATGAGGTGGATTCATCCTTCGAACAACAACAACATTCTCATTCATATATGGTCGATATGAATTCTATTTTAATTGATAATAATAATCCAATTATTGGAGATGTAACGACAGCAGCAACAGCAGCAACAACGACAACAACAATGTCGACAACATATCATTTATTATCGAGTGTCGGTCCAGATTATTACCTGAATAATTGTTCTCAACCAAACATGGTTGAATTTTCAAATGTCAATCCGGTGTATGATGAAAATGACGATAAACAAAGTGACAAACATTTTATTGACTCATTCAATTTACCAGGTATTATTTTTCATCTTTTTTTTTCTCTTTAAAATAATTTCTGATCAAATTTTTTTTGTTTGTTTGAATCTATAGTTGATCTCGGTACAATTTCATCACAGCCTTCGGCAACCAATGGACTCGGTCATTATTATAACGAAACAAATAATTTGAATTATACACCAATTTATTCAAACTATTCTCAATCATGGCCAGATTCATCTACTGATTCTTCGAATTTTTCTGCATCAGCAAACATTTTAGATTCATCAATCCAAACACCATTGGAACAAACACAATATTATCCTTTCAATTATATGGTTAATATTCCTGGACAACATCATTTGCAATCAAGCGCTACAAACGAATGGAATAATTATGATAATAATAATGATTTTTCATTCTCAAATGCTTATGTGACTCCATCCTCGGTTTCTTGTGTTTCATTATCGGAAGCAAAATCCACAGATGACAGTCCAAAACCTGAACCGGTTCAGCCTGAACAAAACAAACAATCATCAATCAAGGTCAAAACACCTATCAATCAAAAGTCTAATTCTAATCGTAAGTTTTGAAATTATTTTTTTTTAAGAATTGAATTTTATTTCATTGTTATTTTTTCACTGAATATTTAGCCGATGATTTAGCGAGAAAACTTGAAATGAAACGTGAAAGAAATCGTGTTGCTGCACGTAAATGTCGAAACAAGAAACTTCAACAAATCGAAGAATATGAAAAAAATATTGCTATTCTACAGAAAGACATAGAAAAATCTGAAGCTGAATTAAAAATAATAAATGCTAGAAAATTCGAATTACGTGCTGCAATTATGAATGCATTAAGTTCAATTCCATTGGTATGTCCAGAAAAAGCAATAATATTCGAACAAAATAATCAATAATCATCGTTCAACAAATAACTATTTCATTTACTAATCATAATTAATTAATTGATTGAGAATTTAATTGGTAAGATTCTATATACTTAAATTGACTTGCTTATTCAACGAATTTGTGCATTTTTTTCTTGAATAAATAAATTTTCCACTTATTTCAATTGTTTTTTTTCTATTGTTATTGTATTACAAAATTCTAATTATAATGTTTCCAACAAAAAAAACTGATAAAATAAAATAAAATTATTAAAAACATGATTTCTTTTTTTTATTGATTTAATCAAAAAACAAAATGATTAAAACAAAATAAAGAATAACAGAAAAGAACAAAAGATACAATTAATTTTTATCATGTAATTTTCGATAAATAGCCTGCATATAAGTGAAAATACATTTAGGATCCGGTTTATCTTTGGCAGCCAACATATCATCCACTTCGATCATTGGTGGAACATCAATCTTATCTCTGAGAAGAAAAAAAAATCAATTCAATTGTTAATTCAATGATGCATTAACAAAATATTACTCACTGAATAGTGTTAAAGGCAAGTGTAAGATTTTCTCGACGATTATTAGGATCAAGTTTATCAAATTCAAATGAATCGGGAAAAAAATGATGAATCAAAGCACAGAATGCCATACCATTAGCCCAACTACTTGAAAAATTTTCAATGTTGACATTCTATACATAAAGAATAACAAAAAAAAATTTGACAATGTTAATGTTGGAGGAGAAAAAAAATATTTCCATATAAAATGCTTATTAGACATTCTATCACAAAGAATATGAGGCGAATGATCATTAACCAAAAGATCATTGTTGATAATTGACATAAGCAATATTCATATATAAATTACCTCATAGCCTCTGGTTTTGGCTTTGCTCCATCGAAGCAACATGTCTTTGATCTGGGCAGGAGTAGGACTGTTGTTTAGGCATCTCAACATGGATGCAAATGATTGATGAATAAAATGGATTTTTTTACATGGATGAATGGTGAAATGTGAGAATAAATAGTAAACATCATTTAGGAATTTGCTGTTATTTTTTTAAATTGTATAATTTTTTTTTACTTACGGCATTGTAACTTTTTTTTTTTAAATTTTAAATAACAAATTTCAAATATTTTAGAAATCGAAAAGTTCTTCACCAAAGTGAATTGTTGATTGTTGAAAATGAAAATGATGAACTGAAGAGAAAATTTCGGATTATCATCAACCAATCAAGAATATTCAAGTGATGATTATTTAAGACAACTTGCTCGTAAAAAAAAAATTCTCATCGAATTAATAAAAAAAGGGAAAATGAAGGAAAATAAAGCAAACATAACATTGAAGAATTAGTAAGGATTGAATCCGACATAAAATGGCAATTCATTTTTGGTATTATTATCAACAATTACAATGATAACTGATGGTTGGTGTGAAAAAACAACATGCGCAAACTTATTATTACGCGGATCATTCATTAAAATCCGATGCCAACAATGATCAAAACAAGAAAAGTATTAGATCAAGAAATAAATATATATAATTCTATTTCGGGTATCATCAACATCATCGAAATAGACATTTATCAACATTTGAATAAGAAATGATTGCACAAATCAACTAATTTTCATATGGCATATATGAAATATATCATCATCATCATTTGGTTAATATCCAATAGATTTTTTTCCTTTTCGTTACACATTCTGTCATTCGAAGTCAATCCATCAAACAAAATTCTGTATATTACACCGATATTTCTCAATAACAATAATAATAATAATAAAAATTATAAAACAAATGTAGTTTGAAAAATATAGAATTCTTTCTGTTTTCTTATTGTTTTTTATTTCTTATTTAATTAATTATCACGTAAAATGTTGAATGAATATATATTTCGTTGATTGACATTTTGAATTTTTTTGTTTGTTTTTGTTTTAAAGGAAAGCTCAATTGTATTGTATTGTTTGTTTGTACTCTTTGTAACAACAATGTCAATGTTAGATGCGAAAGAATCACGTAATAACAATCAAATAAAAAAAAGAAAGAAAAAAAAATCAAAATGGCAAAGAAAAGAATAAAAATATGATTCACTGTTGTAATTGATTGATTGATTGCGGTTGAGACAGAGAAAATAAAATTCCATTTTGATAAATTTTGTATTTATCATTCGTATAGACTACTTGAATTTTGGCGATGTGGGCAATGATTTTTTTCCGGCATAGATATCAATCCTCTCCTTTTGCTTTTTATTATTTGCTCGTACCATCTCTGAATGATGTTGTACCTACAAGTTTTTTCAAACGTGGATCTTCTTGTATTTCATTTGGATCAACTAAAATTAAATGAATAAGAATTAATGAATGAAAAAAGTGTTAATTATAATGATAAATCTATATAATTACTGTCATATCGTTTTAATTCTTCAAGTACAACTTGTTTAGGACCGGCACCTTGTCTTGATACATAATCATATGCTTTCAATAAACGTTTTTTATCTTGTTCGGCTTCTTGTTGTCGTTGTTTAATGAATTGTTGTGCTGGATCATCTTTGGTCGTTGTACCAGCAGGTGAAAGTGAAGCCTTTGAATAAGATTCAAGAATTTTTTTCTTTCGTTCTTCGGCACTACGTTTACATTGTTGGAAAACATCCTCAATACCTTTGTCGATTATACTTGGTGATGATGGTGGTGTAACTATATGTGATGTTTTTAATTAAGCCCTCATGAAAAATCATCTAAGAAGAAGAATCACTTACCTTGTCCGGTTGTATAGATACCAATGTCCATTGTTTTTTTACCACCGGCCGGTGCTGATCGTGCCATTTGATCATACATGGCCAATGTACGTGCCTTATGTTCAGCTGCTTTTCGTTGTCGTTCTTGAATCATTTCTTCACGGCTATTAGTTAATCGTTCCAATTTTGCATCTCGTTTGGCTGTTGTGAAATTAACATTTAAAGGAGGAGAATAACAGTATAAATAATGGAAGATTTACACAAAATTTTTTTCTCAAAAAAAAAACAAAAACCAACCTCTTTCAATTGCACGTAATTCTTGCATACGTCCTCGAATCGCTTTCCGATCATCAATATCTTCAGTCTGATCCAACTATGTATAGTGTTTTTAAAAATGTAATTCAAATAAAACCTGAATATTGAAAAAAATACTCAATACATACCAGATTTTGAAGAAGATTCATATCGGTAAGTTCATCGAGATTAATTTCTTGTTCCATTTTAGGACCCTATTTACAATTTGTAAAATAAGAAAAAACAAAAATTAGATAATTATCAAATGGAAATTAATTTTGAAAATCATTAATAAAAGTAATCATAATTCAATCATAAATAGGAACGATACATGCCATTCCGTATGATTTTTTTTAAAAAAACGTTATTTCAAATATTGACAATGTTTTTTTTCACCCAAATGAAATCAAATGATCTTGAATAGCAATGAAAGAATTTCACTGAATAAATGAATGACTTAAATTGGATGAAAATCAAACCTCCTCGCATAGGAGAAAAAACCGAGTGTGTAAGAAACGGGGGAAAAAAACAAGAATATTACTTACACGAAAAAATAAAACAAACAAGAAAATATAAGATAAGCCAATATGGAAGAAATATTTGCTGGAAGAATGTGTTTGTGTGTTTTAATAGGGAAAAAATATTTATTTTATTTTTTTGTAAAAAAAATTTAGACGAAAAAAAAACTAAAATTAAAATATTTGTCTTGAAAAACGTACACCGAAACACAGCAATCGTGTTTTTTTTTGGTCGGATGGTAAAGTTAATTAAATGGAGATCATCAAAAAAAAACGGTGACAAAACACATTGTCGTGGTGGATTTGCCATTCAACAAGGATGGCAAATATTTTTGAATTTTGTCTGTTTTCGTTGTTGATTCTGTATGTAAAGAATTGTTAGTAGCGACACCGGGCGTTATTTCTTTTTTTCCTGAAATCGTATAATCGGTTATTATCTTTTGGTTGGTTGGTTTGTTGGTTGACAGAATGCATGCAATAATTATATGGAATTTATCATAATAAATATAATCAAAAAGTGTACATACAAATAAATAAACATTTAAGATGGTGACATGATAATTATACAGAATATTTCTTTTTCTTTCTTAAGTTTGTTCATTCACATTTCAAAACCTAAAAATACCTTTTCTTCTTCTTACTTCTTCAATGTTGTTGGATGATTTTTTAGTTTTCTCCGATTCTAAAATGTTGAAATCATTGAAAGGAGGATATAAATGAATATTTTAGAAAATTCATGTCTGTATCCACTAGCGAAAGAGAATATTTCAATTCTACATTGATTCTATAAGATGTTGTTGTTGTTGTTGTTGTTACTGTCTGTTGATATGTTGCCAATTTTATTTATTTGCTTACAATTCTTTTAGTACAGTTTCACAATTGTTTGTTTGTGTGAATATCAGAAAAAAGGCGGCTGAAGAAACTGAAACAAAAATTATTATTTTTTTCTTGTCGAAAAAAACAGATCCAATCTAATACGAATGAAATATTCATTGAAATTCATAATTTTCAATGATAAACTATTGTTTGTTTGTTTTAATTTCATGAATGCAATTGATTCAATTTGTCAATAGGAGAAAAAAAGGATTTTTTTTCCTGTCGACACATTTATATTCTGTCATTGAACTTTTGATGTTGATCTTGAACATTTTTTTTTATTTTCATTCAATTTGATTATTCAAATCAAATCGGATCATCGGATTATATATTCTTTTTCTTTTTCATTAATCATCCTGAACGAAAGATTCTTTATGCATGTTAAGAAAAAACAAAAACAAAAACAATGACAGGAAAAATGATTTATTTTTTCATTTGTTTTTGTTTTTGTTTTTGTTTTTGGCAATGGATAATAGTATCACAGTAATTTTCATTTGACAAAAAACAAAGATGAAATTAATAATAAACTAACAAATCAAATTGATAGAATCTGTTTTGTTTGCAATAATTATCATTATTGAATCATATCGTTAACATAGAAAGAAAAATGAATTGAAAAAAACTTGAACAAATAAGAAAATTTACCGAATCAAAAATTTGATGAATATAATAAAAACCGCCATAGATTTTTAAATTTGTAACGTTGTTTATGAGCAAATCTTGATTGGTCATCTGTTTTGCTTTGTTTTGTTTTTATTTTTTATTTTTTGAGGATTTTCAATCATTTTTTAGATTATGTTGTTTTTTATTCGATTTTTTTGTATCTAATATTTTTATTGATGTACATCGAAATAGTCTGTACGAGGTTCAATTGCTCACCCGTCATTTTTTTTCCAAAATACATCGCTATTGATATACGTTTTTTCCCAAAAAAATTGAAATCTTTGGAAAATTTTTCATTTCATCACTATTAATATTGTTTTTTTCAATAATTATAATTGTTTGTTTGATATTGGTTTTTTATAAATCTGGTTCATCCAAATATTTTCGCCCACCAAAGGACCACACAATATAAATACATTCGAATACTCGACGTTGATGTGTGTTTATTGTGGTTTATCATAACCATATTGAACAACATAGCGACGAATAATGGACACTGCCAAACGTTGTGCCGAAGATTTTGTTTTTCACAGAATCATCGGTGAAGGATCATTCTCAGTTGTATGTAGTGTTTATAGATGAATAGTGTAATCCATTTCTTTTAATCTGTTGTTTTCCGATTTAAGGTTTATCTTGCTCGTGATGTTCATACAAAATGTCTATGTGCGGTGAAAGTATGTGAAAAATCGCATATTCATCGTGAAAAGATGCAAAAAGCAATCCTTCGAGAAAAACAAATTATGAAATATTTGACGGAAAAACAATCGAAATTTTTCATCAAATTATTATCAACATTTCAAGATGATACCCGATTATGTATGTCTATTCCATTTTATAATTTGTTTCAATTAATAATTCATAATTTTTTTCAAATTAGTTTTTGTCCTAAATTATTGTGTGAATGGTGAATTATTATCATTCATCAATCAACGTGAGATATTCGATCATAAAGCCACATTGTTTTATGCAGCCGAAATTCTTTTAGCTCTTGAACATCTTCATCGTTATGATATTGTTCACCGGTATGTTTTCTCACGAATTTCTAAATCATTTCGTATTCATATATGAATTCCATTACAGTGACCTAAAACCTGAAAATATATTACTGAATGAAAAAATGCACATACAAATCACTGATTTTGGTTCGGCATTCTTCCTAAATGATCCAACGGGTGAAAAGAATGATCCATTCGAAGCCAAATACTCACAACAACACCGTGGCCGTAAAAATTCATTTGTCGGAACAGCACAATATGTATCACCGGAAATGTTGACCAATAAAAAAATAACCGGCATGTGTGATTTATGGGCATGGGCTTGTATGCTATATCAGATGATCACTTCATCACCACCATTTTCCGGTGGTAATGAATATAGTATTTTTCAGAAAATACAAAATTTAGATTATAAATTCCCGGAAAATTTTCCCGATGATGCAAAAGAATTGATTCAATCAATATTAAAAATTGATCCTACACAACGTCTTGGTGCTGATGACGATGTTAAAAACAGTGTTGGTTATATTTCCATACGAAATCATAGATTTTTTAATTCATTAAATAATGATTGGAATCTACTTGATAAACAACCTCCACAGCAATTATTAGCCGTTGCTCGTAATGATACATCGATGGAAGAATTATGTGCTGAATTTGAATCAATGAATTTATCCCCTGGTTTGAATGAAAAACAAATCACTCGGCTACTTTGTCTTTCATTGCATCAAGAATCTGATTCATTCAAACCTAACAATGCCAATAATTGTGATAATACTAAAACGACGACTAACAAACGTAAACATATATTGGATATATCGGCCAAAGAGTTTGAAGAACGTTTACGTAAACAAAAAGAAACGAACAAATTCCATCCGTTTGTCGAAAACAATCTTATTATAAAGCAAGGTTTGATCGATAAGAAAAAAGGTTTCTTTCCAAGACGTCGTATGTTCCTGTTGACAACAGGACCACATTTATATTATGTTGATCCGGCCAATATGGTTCTTAAAGGTGAAGTTCCATTCTGTAAGGAGATGCGAACTGAAGCGAAAAATTTTCGTAATTTCTATATACATGTTGTGAGTATATATTCATTTTTGTTTGTCAAATAATGATAGATAATTGCTCAATCTTTTTTTATTTATCGTTTTTTCTGTTTTTTTTTCATTATGTTCCGGCACGCCTTAATCATTATAATAATGAAATGGTATATATTTTTTAGCCAAACCGAACGTACATTCTCGAAGATATAACAAATAATGCACCCGGTTGGTGTGAAATAATAGACGAAGTGAAAAAATATGCCTTACAAGATCAATTAGCCTCTACCGTTACAACTAACGCTGGTGATGATGATAATAGCTTACATAATCAACAACGACAATCATCCAAATTACCGGATCAACAGAATATGAATAATGGTCTAATGAAAATCAACAACAATAATATTAGTAATATTAATGTCAATAGCAATATCAGTAGTAATATAAAAAAATCAAAAAATAGTCTTTTCAATTTGAATATCAAAAAAATGACTGTCGCCAATACGGCCGCCAATAATCATAGTACAACAGCAGCTACTACTGCCGAAAATAGTGGTGTTAGTGGTGGTAATTAAGAATAATGGATAGGAAACAAATTTCGAAATTTTTAGATAAATGCAAAAAGAAAATTCTTTAATTAATTTTCATTTATCATTATCATCATATAATCTTCATTATGAAATCCCATAAACATTGGTGATAAGAAAATATATTGGAATGATTGGAGAAAATAGAAATTGAGGAATTTTTTTTAATGAATGGGTTTCATTAAGCTATTTTCTAAGATAGTTTTATCTTATTGTTTTTGTTTCATTATTTTTTTCTTTCGATTATGTACCACAAAGGAAATGTCCATAGCATTGGCATGGATATTGCACAACAACAACACGAAGAAAAAACAAAACAAATGACTGAAAATCGGTTCTATAATTTATTTCATTTTTTTTAATTATTATGTATTGTTTGTTTAAAATGTTTTTTTTTCTTGATTATCAAACACTTTACACATCCAACATTACACACACACACAAACATTATTATCATTTATTTCATTTAATATAAAATATGCTAATTATCATTATATATGGATCGAATAAATAAATAGTGAAATTTTTAAAAAAGATTTTAAAAAATTGGATAATTTATGTTTGTACGGATGTTGTTTGACCGCGAACCACAAACCAACAATTATGATGATGATGATGACCAAATATGGTTATTGTTTTTTTCCGTAATGATGATGATGATAATGTGGTTATGCTATCTGAATTCTCTGTTATTAATTGTTTAAATTTAAAAAAAAACGATAAAAAAAGATAACAAATCGTGACAAATTCAAATAGACTAAATCCTGTTGATTATTTATTTATTTATTATTTACCGATGATGATGATGATCACTTGACAATTTTGATGAAATTGTCATTGATTTGATTTGGTGTTAATGATGATGACAATGATGATGATGATAATAGTAGATAAAAATATTTTATTTTTATCAACTTGTTTTTCTTTTGATTGCAAATCCAAAAAAAAAAAACGTTGCAATTTTGATAATTGGAAACAAAAGTTGTAAAGAGATTATAATTGTAGATTTTTTTTGATTATAACAATATGAGTATTTTTTTCGGATGTTTGATTTTGATAGTGCAATCATGTCACAATTAAAATCATCATCATCATCGGGTATTGTCTTGTCTATAAAGTCATTTTTTATTTTATTTTTTTGAATTTCATTTTTTTATTCATTCAAAAATTTACTTGAAAATTCATATAATAATAAAATAGAAAGAAGGGGTGGATTCTAAAAAAAGAATATATTGTTTGCGTATAAGTGTTTTGGCTGGCGGGTATTGAATGATGACATCATGATGACATCCGACAAACAGCAGCAACAACAACAACAACAACAACAACAGGAAAATAATGATGAACAAGAAGAATTATCAAAGAAACGAACAAGATATATACGAACAACAGCTAAGATAAAAAAATTACAAGAAAAAATTGCAACAACTTATATTCAAAAAACATCATCATTATCAACTTGTAGACGAACATTATCAAGTAAGTAGAATTGAAATAGATGAGTGGTGAGAAAGAAACGAAGAAAATAGAAAACGTGTACAAAATTAGATTAGCCATACAATAATAAATTTATTTTTCACTTTTAATACTTGAACGGTGTAAGAAAAGAGACATTGAATTTTTTTTTCTTGTTCAATATCATTATGAACAATCTATGCAACCAGTGTGTGTGTTCTATGTGTTAATTAATATTTCGGTACATGTTTTATAAACAAAGAAGAATCTCGATTCTTGATGCGTATTCATTGAAAAGAAAAAAAAAGAAGACTGAAGTTGAAATATAATCTGAATAAGAGAAAAAAATGAATAGGTTTTCATTTACTGCATGAATAATATGCATAGATTCGACAAATGAAAAAGTTTCGTTTATATTCTTGTCAGCCATCATTATCATCAAATGAATTAAGAATGAATGTGAAAGAAATATACAAATAATAATTGTGTGCAAATGTGATCATATCCATCACCCATCCATCTATTCATCCATCCATCACTAACGATGATTATATTATCTTGATTATTCAATTATCCAAAAATCGATTGTTCTTAAAACATTTTTGATTGATACATATAAATATGTGTGTGTATATGTGATATTTTAATCTGTCCATCAAATTATAAATATCAATTGTATCGAAAGCAAGAGAAAAAACCATAAAAATAGGCAACAATCATCAATATTCATCATCAAAGACTATTTTTAAAAAAGACAATGAAAAAGGCATTCAAATCGGTATTTACTGTCGGTGGAAGCGGCAGCGGTGGTACGGCTAATAACAGCAAAATCGCAACCAAAAATGCCGATTATGATGAACAACAACAACATAATCGACAACAATCAGGTTGAATTTTCTTTTCTTTATTTATTTTATTCTTTAAGAAAAAAACAACATTCATGATTCTAATATAGTTCATCGCTTTATTTGATCGATTGATTTTTGTTTCTATTCTTATTTTTGGATTCAAAAACAAGAACAACAACAAAAAAAACAATCGGAAATAAACAATAATAACAGAGTTACAATGAACAAACAAATTTTTCATTTTAAATTCTCAATAAAAAAAATTTTTCTCATGACAGAGATATTTAAAACATAGTGGATTTGTTGAGCTTTGTTAAATTCTTTTAGTTGCTTTATTCTTTGTTGTTTATATTATCGCTATATTTAGTTAGGTTATGTTTTATGTCTTATTCTTATTCTTCTTCTTCGTTGTCGTTGGAAATTCTTGATGTGTTCATGTCCGTACCGCTACTTGAAAGAATGTGAGAAACAAAATTGTGATGATGATCGAGAACCGTCAACATCAACAACAAAAAAAACACTTGTAGAACTTGTGAAGAAAAAAAATTGAAAGTAACGGGAGCTTTTTTATGGACAATCAAATGAGTGTGTTGAGTGTTTTGTTTTGTTGTCGTTGTAAAGGACAAAGAAGAAAATTAATTAAAATTAAATTTGTAATTTTCAATGTAATTCTTCTTATTTTTATCATATAAAATTCTCTATAGATTTAAATGATCAACAATCAAACGAAGCACCAATCATTACTGAATGTAATAGTGATTCTGAATCACCAACACGCCATAATAATAATAATAAAGAATCGAATCCAAAATCATTATTAACAAATTCAAAAATGAAAAATTCGGATAGAATTTCCGAAATCTATTCACGACAGGTAATTTTTTCAAAAAAAGGAATTGCATTAACTTTCATTGATTTATTTTTTTTTATAGCTATCTTCATCCGCAAACAAATCAAATTTTATGAAACATTCATCGAATAGCCGTAAATCTAGCCTAGATCAAACATTTGATTTCAATAATAACAATAATAATGATAATGCCGGTAGTACAGTAATTATACAACCAGTTGATAGTGATGGTGAAGATTCTTCATCACCATCAACATCACCATCATCATCATCAGCATTATCACCAGTAGAACGATCAAGTGTTATATCGCCAATATCTAAATCAAAACATCGTATATTATCATCATCGGATGCATTTAAAGCACAAAAATCAACCACATCTAATCAAGAGATGCGTATGCTTATGTCGAATGATTCAAAAATTGCTGAAAAAAGTTCCATTTCTGCAATGAAGGCAAAAATGGAATCGAATGGTTTTGCAGCGTCTAAAATGATTGCAGCAAAAGAAGATCATAAACAGATACAGATTGGTGATACGGTTATGAAAACACAATCATCATCCAAATCAAGTTCAGCATCCATGACAATGTCATCATCGTCAACAACTACAGCAGATAATATGCTTAGTTTCGGTGCGGAAAAAAGTTCACGATCAGGATTATTATCAGCTAGTAATCGTAATAAATCCGGTGGTCATCATCATTTTAATTTATCATCGGCTAATTCAAAATTGAATGAATTATTACAATCAATGTCACCGAAAATGTTAACATTTTCTAGCGAAGTCGATATGGAATTTGATGAATTAAGTTCAATTGCTAGTACGTTTAAAAGTCCAATCATATCGAAAACAGAATCGATCAATATGAAAGGATCGATGAACAAATTGGAAAACAAAATGTTAAATCTATGCAAAGAATTGGTTCAAAATCGAAATAATGTAGACATAATGCTGGTGATGACCGATATGATTAAAAAAGCCTGGTCAGTACCACAATGTGGTTATGATCTGGGATTCAATATGTCCAAAACGATTCGAGAAACAGGAGCATTAGAAGCATTACTTTGTAACATTGAATCTGATGATGATTGGAAGGTACAATTTTCTAGTATACAATTGTTGGAACAATGTCTTGTTTCAGAAAATCGAGATTATGTTGTTGAACATGGTCTTGAAAAAGTAGTTTGTACGGCCAAAGAATGTGTGAATAAAAAACAAGTAGATGAAGTGGTCGTCGGTGTTGGTATTCTTGAACATTTATTCAAACATTCAGAAAATACATGTAAAGAAGTGATCAAATTAAATGGACTTGAAACAATTCTTTTTGAATGTCGAAGTACAAATATTGAAACATTAAGACATTGTGCATCAGCATTGGCTAATCTTAGTCTTTATGGTGGCCCAGATAGCCAGGAATCGATGATCAAATTGAAAGCAGCCATGTGGTTATTTCCATTGGCTTTCCATAATGATGATAATATCAAATATTATGCCTGTTTAGCTATTACGGTACTTGTTGCCAATCAAGAACTTGAAGCCGAAGTTATCAAATCCGGTACTCTTGATCTTTGTGAACCATTTGTAATGTCACATAATCCAGAAGAATTTGCCAAAAGTTCAACATCACACATACATGGTCAATCAAAGAATTGGTTAGCAAGATTGGTGCCCATATTGATGAGCAAACGAGAAGAAGCACGAAGTTTGGCCGCATTCCATTTTGCTATGGAAGCCTGGATTAAAAAAACTCAGGAACAAACCGAGGTAAATCATTATCAAAGGGGAAACAAATTTAGATATCTTTTTTTTCATAGATATTCAGGGAAATAAATGCAGTTGATGCATTGAAAAAAGTAGCCAGTTGTCCAAATGCAATTGCATCGAAATATGCAGCACAAGCATTACGTTTGATTGGTGAAGAAGTTCCACATAAATTATCACAACAGGTACCACTATGGACAATCGAAGATGTTAAAGAATGGGTCAAACAGGTTCGGATAGTTTTTATTCATGTTGATCAGTAAGAAAAATTCTAACAATTCATTTGACATTAGATTGGATTCGGATTATATTGTCAAGAATTTGAAAAAAGCCGTGTCGATGGTGACATATTATTACAGCTCAATGAACATATGTTACATGATGATATTGGTATTATAAATGGTATTCTACGAAAACGTTTTATGCGTGAATTGGCCAATCTTAAACAGATAACCGATTATTCAAGTTGTGATCCAACAAATTTAGCTTCGGTATTGAATAATCTAGGTCCTGAATATACAAAATATACTTATTCATTATTACATGGTGGTATTGATAAAAATACATTGGCCGTAGCAACGGATGATATGCTTATTGCTGAATGTAATATTGATAATACAATTCATCGAATGAAAATATTGTCCGCAGCCGACGGTTAGTTTTCTCATAATTTTTTTTTGTCTGTAAAAATTGACATGTCATTTTTTTCTGGTTGTTGTTGTTACTGATGATTTAGATTTGAAAAAATGTCAGCCAATAGTCGATTCGACCAAAGATGATAATGATCCAAATAAAACGTTGGACGTGTTCATTAGTTATCGAAGATCAAATGGTTCACAACTGGCGAGGTAAGCTTCAATTTTGAACATTTGATAATAATCCGATTAACGGGGTGGTTTTTCCTTTTTTTTTCTCTTGTCAAATTTTTCTTTTCAACTTTATTTTTTTCTGGTTCTGTTACATCTACCACCATTACACATCATTCATTTAAAAATATAATCTACTTATTATTAGCTTATTAAAAGTCCATTTACAATTGCGTGGATTTTCAGTTTTTCTTGATGTTGAACGTTTAAAAGCTGGTAAATTTGATAATAATTTATTGAATAGTATTCGACAAGCAAAACATTTTCTATTGGTTCTCACGCCAAATGCTTTGGATCGTTGTATTAATGATGATGAACAAAAGGACTGGGTTCATCGGGTATGTAATAGTTTGTATTATGATTTGACTTTATACTTTTCAACAACCGAAAATCAATCAATCAATCGATTGTATTTTGCCCCAAAAAAAAACTAACATGGTTTCTTTTCATTTTTCTTTCATTCATACAATGCGAACAAAAAATGACAACCACAAAAAAAAATTTTAGGAGATTATCTCATTTTTATAACTGACAAAAAAAAATAACTTTTCTTTTTATTGAATAGGAAATTGCGCAAGCATTATTGACCAAATGCAATATAATACCAATAATGGAATCATTTCAATGGCCAGAAGCGGATCAATTACCCGATGATATTAAACCAATTTGCCATTTCAACGGCATAAGGTAGGCGATAAAATGAAACAATTATCCATTTCATTTGATTCCTAATTTCTCATTCTTTTACACTTTTATTCTCACTAGATGGATACACGATTATCAAGAAGCTTGTGTAGATAAACTTGAAAGGTTTATGCGTGGTGAATATCAAAATAGTAAACAATCACAAGATTGTTGTCCTGGATCAACAACCGGTAGTATTAGTAGTGGATCATATCGTTATGGTTTACCACATGGACTACCACCTACACCAAATACACCGGGTATTCGATCTCCAAGTCAACAGAGACGTAGCTGTTCTGTTGAAAATGTTCGCCATCAATCAAATGAATAATAATAGAAAAATATTGGTCATCAAACACAGAAGTGCCAATCCTTCTTCTTCTTTTACGTCAATGCATTATCATTTCACCTCAATTTAGATTTTATTTTATTTTTCATCTTGATTATTATTATTATCATTATTATTTAGGTTGTCCCATGTCGATTGATTTGAATTTTAATTTATTATTATTGTTATTGTTGTCTCTTTTATGCTATGAATGTGATGACAACAGAATCATAATGATGAATGAAATAGAATTACCATATATTCTTACCATCTGGATTGTTGTCGTTTCGTTTCCAACCGGTATTGTCAATTCAGCATCATTATATTTGTATTCAAAGCGCGCNCAACAGAGACGTAGCTGTTCTGTTGAAAATGTTCGCCATCAATCAAATGAATAATAATAAAAAATATTGGTCATCAAACACAGAAGTGCCAATCCTTCTTCTTCTTCGCCTTTTACGTCAATACATTATCATTTCACCTCAATTTAGATTTTATTTTATTTTTCATCTTGATTATTATTATTATTATTTAGGTTGTCCCATGTCGATTGATTTGAATTTTAATTTATTATTATTGTTATTGTTGTCTCTTTTATGCTATGAATGTGATGACAACAGAATCATAATGATGAATGAAATAGAATTACCATATATTCTTACCATCTGGATTGTTCTTGTTGTTGTTTCGTTTCCAACCGGTATTGTCAATTCAGCATCATTATTATATTTGTATTCAAAGCGCGCACCATACATTTATAAACAAACGAATTTCCATTTTTGGGTTTTTATTTCCAGAATAATAAAGAAAATTCATTTGTTGTTCCTTTTTTTTGTATACTGTTTTTGTTCATCATTGTTGATGATTATTATGATGATAATGACGATTTTAGTTTGGTCAAAATGATGATAAATGATAAATATTTATGAGCAACTACAAAAAAAACCACCGAAAAATAAAACTATCACTGATTGATGATTGAATTTCAAATTTTTTTTCATTACGAATCGATTTACTATGATATTCATTAATTCAAAGAAGATATATCACACAATAATGATGATGAAAACATACGGATACAGATATCGATTGTTTCATCAAATCGTCCATCTTGAAACGGTAAAACATTTATTTCATTCATTGAAATGTTTTTCGGGTAAAGAAGAAAAAAAATTAAAACCGGAAAAAACAAAGTTTGTCAGTTTTTCTTTCTCGTAAATTAATGTAAATGTTTTTTATTTTTCTATTTCGTTTGTTTACCATAATGATCATCTTTAACCTCCCAACCATTAAATCAAAGATCATCATTATAATGATGATTATATGACAACAACGATGACGACCCATGTAGTTTTCGAAATCAAAATTAAAAAAAAAATTTCTCATCCGAAGAATTTGTTTTTGTTGTTGTTGTTGTTTCATTGTTGAAACAATCACAAAATTTACCTGTGTATGTTTTTCTTTTCTTGTTTCATTTTTTCACCTATTATCATAATATTCATCAACAAACAACAACGATTATGGAAGAAATGATTTTTTTTAATTAATTTTAATTTCAAGTCATTTTTGTTGTTGTTGTTGTTGTCAAAATACTTTTCATCATCATCATCATCATTATAGTTTTCTGAAGTAAATAAAAAAAAGTAAATGATAATTACGTTATCTTTTATCGACAATCTTTTTCGGATTATCCTTGTTGTTGTTGTTTTTTTTCACAGTGACAATCATCATCATCATCATAATTTTAGACTATAAAAAATAATATGCATGTAAAAAAAATGATAATAATAATAAAAATGTTTACATTTTTCCAAATTGTAAATGTAAAAGAAATTGTTTTATTTGCATAACATTTATTTATTTTTCTTTTGTTTTGCTTCGTTTTATTCATTCATCATCATCATCATCAAAATTGTCATTTGACTTTCAAAGAATCTTTTCTCAGTCTTTTCATCATCATCATCATTATCATCATTGTCAAATTGAATAATTTGTCCATTTCAATAGATATAGTCCATCTTTGGTCTTGGGAAAGAATCACACACTAAACATTGACTGAAAAATTTTTATTTCACAACCTAAATTGAGAATGTCATTGCCGGTATTAATGAAAAAAAACATCTAGTTGTTGGTTTGTTTCGCGATTCTCATCATTTGATAAACACACACACAGACTATTGATGGACAAGGAAAGATTGAAAAAATTCATCATCTATTGAGTGAGGAAAAATTTCATTTCATTTCAATTTTTTTGTGTGTTCGGGAAAAAACTAGCCTGGGCAAATAATCTGTCTATCTCGTCATCATCATTGTATGTAAAATGTAGTTAATTATATGCTACAAACAACAAAACAGCTACAAAAGTAGCATCAATATTCACGTATATATACTATGTATGGAATAATGGATCCATTTTTTCTCTCTGTCTCTCGGTGTATGTATTTCGTAAATTCGTATATGACAATAACAAAGTAAATAGAGAAAAAAATTGCATTGAAAATTGACAAATTGTGATTGCCATCCATCCATCCATCCATTCATCTCGTGAAACACACAGTCTGTATGTATGTATGGTCGTTGTCATCCGTGGATGTACAATTTTTTTTTTCATATCAACCAACAATAGAGATTTCGGTGTAGGACGACGCCATTATAGGACCAGTTTTTTGGGTTTTTTTTTGCTTGCTTGTTTTTTTCTTTTTCAATTCTAATTCTCCACACCACCAGTATTAGATAAAGTGAACAGAATAGAAATGAGAAATCAAAAAAAGAAAAAAAAACTTGATTTCATCTAATGAAAGAATTTCAAAATCGACGAAAAAAAACATGCATATGGATGGCCATGGATGGTTTGATTTTCACAAACAAGAAGCAAAAAGGCAAACAGACTTCTTTTCTCAATCTAATGATAACCTTGATTCCCTTTCCCTTTTTTTTCGAAAGAAAAAAAAACTTTGTCATTGTTAGATTGTATCACATAGACAGAGAATTTTCTCTTCAAACTTTACGACGAATCTATTAGATGCCGAAAGAATTTTGTTTGGAAAAAAAATGATATAAGTCAGTCAGTCAATTCAATTCAATTAACTGAATTCTGAATCAAAAAGAATAGATGATTGAAATATGATGCAGACACAATTCATAATCATCAAAATCAGGAAAATATTTTTCTATCTACAAGAAAATTGTTCGGGTGTACCATTCTTACATTATTATTGAACAAATATAAGTTACACGGACAAACACACAAACGATAATACTGAATGAATGCTATTCGAATGAGATTTGACTCGATGATGATGATCATCATCATCATCATCAAAAAGACACCAGAACAAAATGGGCAACAACAACAAAGTAGGAAAAAAGTTCAACCGACTTGAAACGAATCATTATCGTCATCATCATCATCATCATCATTGTCGGTCATCAGAGCATTACGATTTCGAGTAACTTTTTTTGTTTTGTCTTTCAAGTTTTGTTTTGTTTTCCTTTTAACGATCAATTTTCATTTTCTGTTTTTTCTTTTTCTTGTAAAGACAATTTGAACCAAGGAAAAAAATGAAAAACTTTTGTATCTTTGTTATTATCGAATTGGCTATTTGGTCACAAAATTATCGTTTGGTTGGTCGTTCGTTTATCTTCAATAATGATAGGGATGACAAATCATGTTTTTTTTGAATTTCAGAATCGATCCAGAAGTTACATAAAAAAAATTCAAGATTCAAGATGACAATATTGATCGTCATCATCCGCATGTTCGGATGTCATACATTTTGAATGAGGAAAAAAAGAAATCATTTAGAAATTGGTTTGTTTTTTCGGTTGAAAACTCGTGAACATCAATCATTTCTCTTTTCAATCATTGGAATAATCAATCAATTGGTGATGAATTACATATTTAGGACCTATATTTAAAAAAGAGAGAGAAAGATGGGAAAAAATTCCTGATTACCAAGACCTATATGATGATGTTTGAAGTTACATATTTTTCGTTTTCATCATTCATCGACAAAAAAAAATGTTAGTCATGTAATGAGGGGGGTTGTGATGATTATCATTATGAAACTATATATATGTTTTAATTAACAATTTGTATTGGAGAACATTATTATCATCATCATCATTATCATTACCATTATAATTGCTATACTCGAAAAAAAAACAAAGAACAACAATTATATTTCACAAATGCTCATCATGTTTGTCATTTTTTTTTGGTATTATAATCGATTGTTCAGTAAAAGCGACCAAACAATAAAATGAAATGAATATGAGTTTAGTTGTGCTTCGTGATATTAATTTTCAATTTTTTTGTTTTGTTTCATCATTTTCCATTCTTTAGATTCCATATACATTACATATATGGAATGATTTCATTTTTTTTTGTTTTGTTTTAATATGGAAGCAAAAACTTTACTGTTGTTGTTACTGTGTTGCAGAATTCTCTTCAGTCTGCTATCTGGCAATTTCGTTTGCGAAACAAAAGTTGATTTTTTTTCAAGTGAAAAATCATAATTTTTAATAATGAACTTTTTTTGTTGGCTAAAAATAGATTTTATTTATGAAGAATTTTATGGGCGAAACCTTCCGTTTTTTGGTTTTGGTTTTGAATGAAAATTGAATGAAATTGTATTCCATACGCGTATTGAATTCTGATTGTTGATGACTAGAATTTTAATTTAAATTTTCTTTTCTTTTCTTTTTGAATTTTTTTATTTCTGATATTAATATTTTAGTTGTTTTAAATAGCTAGCTCTATATGTGCAGAATATTATAGTAGATATTTCTGACAAATGATGAAATTAATCAGGAAAAAAATCCAAAATCAAATTTTTCAAATGATATTGATTGATTCAAATTGTGAAATGAATGAAAAAAACTTTTTGATTGAATCGATTGTATCGATTATATTTTGGATAAAATATTCTTTTTTACATTTACATCAATTGGATTTGAAAATCCATTTACAAAAATGGCAACATAGAGTCATTATCATCATCA